GTGAGTTGTGACATTACACAAGGTGTGACATTGTGATTGGTGAGATGTGAGTTGTGACATTACACAAGGTGTGATTGTGATTGATGAGATGTGAGTTGTGACATTACACAAGGTGTGACATTGTGATTGGTAATTTGTGAAATTACACAAGGTGTGACATTGTGATTGGCAAGTTGTGAGTTGTGACATATTACACAAGGTGTGATATTGTGATTGGTGAGATGTGAGTTGTGACATTACACAAGGTGTGATTTTGTGATTGGTGAGATGTGAGTTGTGACATTACACAAGGTGTGACATTGTGATTGGTGAGATGTGAGTTGTGACATTACACAAGGTGTGACATTGTGATTGGTGAGATGTGACATTACACAAGGTGAGATATTGTGATTGGTGAGATGTGAGTTGTGACATTACACAAGGTGTGATATTGTGACTGGTGAGATGTGAGTTGTGACATATTACACAAGGTGTGACATTGTGATTGGTGAGATGTGACATTACACAAGGTGAGATATTGTGATTGGTGATTTGTGACATTACACAAGGTGTGACATTGTGATTGGCAAGTTGTGAGTTGTGACATTACACAAGGTGTGATATTGTGACTGGTGAGATGTGAGTTGTGACATTACATAAGTTGTGATATTGTGACTGGTGAGTTGTGACATCACACAAGGTGTGATATTGTGACTGGTGAGATGTGAGTTGCTACATTACACAAGGTGTGATATTGTGATTGTTGAAATAATAATTTTTATATTGTGTTAGGTGTGATATTGAAATGGATGACATGTATATAAGTTGTGACATTGCATTAGGTGAGATATTGTGTCAGGAGAGATGGATCAGGTTGTGTATAAAAGGGGAAAGTTGGAATAAATGTACCTGTGCTAAAGAATAATACCTTTGGAAACATGTCCAGGAACAGGATTCATTTCTCCATTCAACATCTTCACCAGCAAATTCTTAATGTTGAAGGGTTCACAGGAGAATGGGAGATTGCCTGTTAGCATGGCATACATGTTGACGCCCCTGGAAATACATGCCTTGGAAAGTCTATTCTCAGAGACAACAGGTCAATAATCAAGCAGAATTCTGCAAAGTGATGAAGAGAGTAAGATGCTATCATATTGCTTAAGGTCTTTGCTGTGATACACAAATAAACATAAAGCTGCTAAAATACAATGACCATATTTTCAGAAATGAAAATTATCAAACACAAGCCAAAAATCTTTCATACCGTTAGCTTATGGCCAACCCTGCTCACTGACAACTATAGGTGGTATGGCGACCAGGACACTCTTATAAATGTCAGCTAGTTCAACCTCCACCCCATAAGCTAACGGTATGAAAGATTTTACTTTAATGTTACATCAGGGAACTAGCCTGTAGAATTAAGTGTTACAAGTGTAACCAAAGTAATGCTGTCTTACTGCACAATTGTATAGTATATGATAGAATAACATAATCTGTCATGGATTAGATCCCAACAGGTTCATGGTAATACTGATCAAAACTGTAACAGGCTTGGTACACTTCACTTTGTGTTTTTTACTGAGGTACTATTCTATATACTTCTGCTTCATTTATATTTTAGATTTTAATCCAATAAATATTTGTCATCATATTTCTTTGAAATTCTTGTGCTGGTCATTTTATAGATTTTTATAAGATTTTAAGAATTTTATAACACATGGTTAACTACAATTACCTATACCACTTTGTGTTGAACTTATAAATATACCATGCAATTAATGCACAGCTAGCAATAATTTTATAACACATGGTTAACTACAAGTACCTATACCACTTTGTGTTGAACTTATAAATTTACCATGCAATTAATGCACAGCTAGCAATAATTTTATAACACATGGTTAACTACAAGTACCTATACCACTATGTGATGAACTTATAAATATACCATGCAGTAAATGTACAGCTAGCAATAATAGTCACTATCTCCAAATGAACTTTGCTTCCAGTCAACCATCTTGACACAGTTTTAAATCATAATCCAGAGTGAAAATTGAGCTCAAAGTCATGACGGATTTGAAAAACCATAACTTGAGCATGGGTTAAGGACTCTTTTATTTTCAAGTTATGGGAAGTGTAGAGAAAGGAGGATCAAAGGTTTGGTAGGGAGAAAATACACTTTACCCAAGGTAAATACAAGTAATTTTTGCAAAAAAAAAAGTCCTACACTGTGCACCTTTAACCAATCAAATTACATATATTTTGTTCAAATGATAATGGTTCCCTTATAGTCTATTATGCTGTCTACTCACATTCCCCACACATCCACTTGTGGTCCATAGCGTTTCTGAGCCAGCAGCTCTGGAGCAGCGTAAGCTGGACTTCCACACTGAGTGCTGCACATGGCTGCCATTGCACGGTTGTCATGACAACCACTGTTTAGAAAACAGTTACTGAGTCCAAAGTCTGGAAATTAATGATCATTTTTTATTGACTTTAAAAAATCTGTGAGTAACTTTTAATCATGTTTTTGATAACCATCAAGTTGTTTGTTTACATGCACAAAGTAATGTATTCATTAAGCTTTATAAAATAAAGCATTTTACAGGTGACCCCCCTTCTTGTAGGTTGGGTTTGCCAGTGATGATGATGCTATATGACATGCCTTTGGATATCTGATATTGGCTTTAAGTAAAAATTAAGAAAAAGCTTGCAACATTCAACTCCTGTAGCTAACATAAAACTATCATTTGTTGTCTTTCATTGTTTATCATTTAGACTTGCCAATTATCTTAATCTCCTTCTTTTCATCAAGTAGAAAGTTTTCTATCTTCAGGTCTCTGAAAGAAAAACAAAATATATAATTCTCTATTTGAAAATAACATCTGGATAGGTGCACTGTGAGGCCATTTTCATTTTACATGTAACAGTCTAACATTTTAAGGTTAAAAAGTTCAAATTTGACATAATTTACTGGTTTACGATTACTGGTCCGTAGCCTTTGCTTAATTCCGTAGTGATGAGGTGACAATGATATATACGCACAATGTAAAGAAAAACGTGTGTTATTTGTTTTGTTTTTGTTTTTTTTACATTGATTCTTTAATTTTTTCTCTTTTTATAAAATATTTTTTTATAAAAAAAAGTTTTTATGAGGGGTTACCTGTGAATAACTCCTGCCTTGTGCATGTGATCCAAGGCAGACACTACATGTCTCATATGTAGACGAACTTCCTTCTCGCTCAACCTTCCTCTGCTAACAATATGGTCCATGAGATCCCCTCCCTGACACAGCTCTGTCACCAGGTAGTACGTGTTTGGCGTTTCCATCACCTCGTACAACTGGACGATGTGAGGATGACGTAACAGGGACATGATCTTCCCCTCTCTGCGTAGGTGCTTGCGAACATAAGAATCTTCTCTTGTCTTTTTCTTGTCTATACACTTTACTGCAACCTAGAACAGACACTGTGACATATGAAAGTACCATGCGCTGATCAGCAACCTTGAGCAAACGCCATAAAGACAACAAAACAGGTAGTCTTATTTTTTTAAGTATTGTAATAGTTGAGACATGCTTGGCATATTGCATGATGCATTTGACAACACTGAAAAATGAGTTGTTTTGTCTCTTATCGACGCCCTTAAGTGCCTCCTCACACCGAAATTCTTGTAGATAACCCCGCTTATGTGCGTTAACATGTTGTAAGTACTTCAGATCCATATAGTAACCAGAAAAAATAAGATTTTATGACAAGAGTGATATTTGTTTTTGATATTATATCTAATCTATGCATTTGCAAGGTGTATTGAGGAGCAGTCGTGAAAAAATTGGTGGGTATCATGCATTTGCTGATCATATTTTTGTCAAAAAAAGCAATTTTAACCAAAGTAAACCTAGTTTTATGATGGATTTACATTGCGTTATTGACAAGAAAAAACTTTCGGCCTATGCAATATATATGTCATTCTATATGATTTACATATGCCAAAAATTTCAGTAATGCCCCTTTTTAAAAGCTATAAGTGAAAGTAATGAAGATTACTTATATGTTTATTTGTTTAAAAAACGTATATGTTTACCGAGACCGACTGGATTTCGTCTTCCCCATAGTTACCCCAATGTTGATGTTAATTACAAATGACTTCATTATATCAGCGGACATTTGCCGCTAATAATCTGTCTGCGTTTGATGTAGAGCTTGAGTGTTTACAGCTTACGAAGTTGTAAACTTATAAGAAATATCTTGGAAGAAATAATAAACTGCCGTTTACAATACACCAGGCTTTATATTCATGGACACAGCACTAAGGCTGTAGTTTTAAAGGTGCATTTGTTTTAAAGATGCAATTCATTTATTTCTCCGAAAAGGAAGTCACGTTTTAGAATCTGTTTGTCTGTCAACAACAATACTGTGGGGAAAATTTCAGAAACTGTCGCAAGGGGACCAGGTAACAAACGGTCAGACTTGAATCTATTATGAATATGATATGAATGAGTTAATTAATGTATCAACAACATATGCAACATTGTGGATGAATTTTGATGAAGTTTTCGCAATTTACGTCCCCTGACAACATTATTATTATTCTTGCCAACGTTCGTACCTTTTCTCCGGTTAGAAGATGGAGTCCAAGCTTCACCTTAGCGAACGAGCCTCTTCCCAGTGTTTTCCCAATCAAGTAATTTCCGACTTTCTTGGTGTGTGGGAACTCCCTGATCAAGTCCTGAGAGATGTGGGTAACGGGCAAAGGTAACGTGGGCTGTACCGGGGGCGCCAGTAACTTGGGCTTCAGGCGTACACCCAGGACTTCTGGCGGACTAGTTGCCGGCGGCCGCATGCCTTAGGTTGGCTAGAGTGACAGAACTAAAAGCTTTTATCTCCTAGTTTTCCAATTCAGATGGATTTATTCGCTGTAAAACCCGCCGTTTTGTCGCACAGGTTCAGCGTCACACATCGCTTCTATTCTACAGTGTTGGTTATATTTTTTCACGTTCGATGGTTGAATCCAACAATGTAAATCGTTGATAAGTTTTTCTACCATGAACTATATATTTTCAATCTCCCTACGCAAGTGCTCGAACGCTTCGGAAAAATCCTCAGTAAACCCCCGCCTGTTGCCAAGGCAACGTAGTTTAGACGTGCATTGTCGTATTTTGTACGATGTCATACAGAGCCATGGTTGTCAATGCATTATTATTTCTAAATCTGTTCTATCGTCTATGTATCAATATGAAATGATTGCTGCCTTCGCCTAGGAGATCTCCTCTCAGTTTGATGGCTCTTATATCAACCTACCCAGACTCACTCAAGTGTTCACAAATATTGACCAGGCGCTATTAAATATGTACGTCCTTGTCACGCATTTATTGTCCTCCTATATCACTGGAGCCGGGAGGAAGAGATTCAATTAGATACAGGTGGAACCATTATGTAATGGAGAAATCACTAAGAAAACTAATAAATATTGATATTACTAGCTTCAGCAAACAGATGATCAACATTAGATATAATACGTACACAGTCAAGGGTTCTCTCTCTGTAAAAATTCGTGAAGGGTTTCCACAAGATAAGAAATTTTATAAAATTTTGTAAACGAAATTATAACACAAACAGGCTTTAAAAGCATGATTGTTTTCGAAAACAAACATTGCTAATTCGGGAGATTAAGAGGTGTTTTCATCAGGTGTCTTCTGCCTACCTAAGCTTGGTGCTTAAAGGGATAATAACTCTTCGTATGAGATCTATATTTCACAATAAAAATATTGTAAACAACGCATAGAAATATAATATATTCTGTTTTACCACAAAAACGGCAGTTATAGCTAAAATTCTGATATCTGAGCTTGTCATCAGACCACGTGGCCTCTATAGATGGCTATACTCTGTAATAATCTCTTAAGAGAATATAACATAAAACCAAACTTTTTTTGGAAAAAAAAACTGGAACTAACTTTGAATATAGAAATGGATTCGTTAACCACTGGTAAGTATGGGAAAATTGCTGTTTACTCCGGGAAAATTCAATTTTGGCCAAAACGAACAGTTATTATCCCTTTAAGCGGTGTTTTCTCACCTTTGCTGCTCTTTCTAGCACGTTTTTCGGCACTTTCCTTTGTTGTTACTTAAGACTCAAACAGTTTCAGTAGAATTCGTTGCCATTCTCTCTCTCTCTCTCTCTCTCTCTCTCTCTCTCTGTCTTCAGCGCTGGCTTGTCTTCAAAGTCCTTTCTGCTCTAAGTCTATCTAGTTCTGACGCTCTTTCTCTGCTATCAATACGGGCATGGACAAAATGACGTATGGACAAAATGAGGTGATTATGTCCAAGATATAGTATAAGTTCTTCTTCTCGTTTGTATCTCTGTTACCTTCTCTCCCCTTAACAGTCTGTTCTCTACAGCGTCCTCTCACCGCGTTCCAGCCCCGAGCTATTCACTGTCACGCTACACAGCGTATGGAAATTACCGGAGAACGATAGAAACATGACTTGGAATCTATGAATACGGAAATACCTGTACTGTAGCGAATGTTAAACTTTGGTTTTAAAGTGTAATGGCTCACAATTTCAATTCTTTTTTTTCTGCTCATATTTCAATCATGCTACCTAACGGAACTTGGGGTAAATTCGCAGAAAGGCTGCGAACGTTATCTTTTTTGAAATGTAAAACGATGCGACTAATAACGACTTTTACAGTATGTTTTCACATTATCAGTTTTATGAGTAGTGAAAGGTGTCCATCTGACCTTCGACTGTTCTTTAGATGTTCAGTATTTTCTGAGTGCTGGGGTTTCACTTGGAAATGCATATAATTAAATGCATTGCATCGGGCACAGAAACCTTGCCATCGAGACCGTGAACAATTCCTTGAAGCAGTTGGTCGAGGCACTGAAACCTTGCCATCAATACCGTGAATAATTCCTTGAAGCAGTTGGTCGAGGCACTGAAACCTTGCCACTGATACCGTGAACCATTCCTTGAAGCAGTTGGTCGAGGCACTGATCACCGGGCGACTGAAGCAGAGTCGTGTAAATAACACTGTTAGGACTGAGGTGTAGCTTTTACTTGCCTTTCCTTGGGATGTGTTGACTAGGAATAAAACGGTGTCTTATTTTAAATTAAGTGTCTTAGATGATAAACTCCGTGCCCTCTGTTCCTTCACTTCGTTTCGTGCCAAAAAAATTAATAATAACTCACAAAATAATGTTACTTCTTTAATCTCTGATCATATGATTATAAAGACTAAAGAGTCCATACCAAATGTCTTCTTTAGATTCTAAGAAGGATACAACATTGTGTTTATATATATACATTTGTACATATACAAGTGCATCTACCGGTATATGTGCAATTGCAACCATATAATGATGTCTTGATATTAAGATGAAATCGAATTTTCAATGGTAAATGTTTATTCCAAAAATCTTACATTATTTGAAAATTTGAAATGTAGAAAACTTAAAATATTAAAAGTTCTGACATGAAAGCATCGATAACAGTGAGTATATAAACAATGTACGTTTATTTTACTTTCTTAAAAAGCTATTTATCTGAGCTTCCTCTCTTCGCTTTGAAAATCGTTCGTGTACAATATATAGCTGGTTATAACAAATTATCCATATTATATGATAACCAACCGTGTTATTAGAACGTGTAAGTTATATATCATTGCAGTTTAGGACATTGAACAAGTTGTCTTATCTGGTTACTGATATCATACAGAACACAGTGGCGGATTTAGAGGGGGTGGGTCAGGACCCCCTGATCTCTGAAAAATGGTCCTCTCCCGAAATTAGAATTTTGACTAGCTAAATCATAGATCTAAACCGTAACAAATAGCCCTTTAGCCAGCCTCGAACCCCACGCCAAGGGGGGTGGGGGTAAGGGCCGGCTTCGCACTCCCCCCCCCCCCACGCTTCAAATTATCCTAGATCCGCCCCTCTAACAGGTACACTCTAAAATCTAATCTGTATTAATCAGTTACAAACAAAGGTTATTGAATATCCAGTCGATTGGCCAACATGGTAACCGCAGGGGCGGATCTAGGATTATTTGAATGGGGGGGGGGGGGGGGGGGTCCGCGGATGCAAAGACGTGTAATAAATCAGGTATCAATATTAATATCAAAGCCAATGTGTCATGCACTGGTATCTCATTATTCATCTACGTAAAGCCATCTTAGTTTTACTGCCTGTATAAAAGTTACCAAATAAATGGGTTGAATTCAACCAGAGAAACTGTTTCAAACCAGTTGAAATTGTATAGTTTAAACTTAACTGCTTGCCATGGTAGATTTCAGCTGAGTAACTGGTCGAAACTTAACCGATTCAGTTTGTCAATGTACCCACCGATCGTTAACCAGTTACATCCGATGTTATGAAGGCAACAGTTCTGTTAAAATCTTGTTCACATTCTGTATCTCAGACACTTCACCTCCTAGTGACAGTGCTCTGCTCTATATCATCGCTTGACACTACTTCAAAACTACAGGTGTGTTCTTTAAACGTTTATTTTTTGGGGGGATGGGGGCATGGTACTATCTACCGGATATTAGCATTGTAGGGTTTGTTGTGAAAAATAAACTACTTCATTTACTTTGAAAAGATAATTGTGTAAAAACAACAGTTATGATTGACGTGTACCTGATACATTGTACTTATCCAACCTCATGAGTCTGCTGTCTGCAAAGTGGGCCGAGAACAAAACGACGAAATAATGACAATTTGAAGCTTGCGTAATTAATAAATACGTCAAAAAGCCGGATAGTGATATAATGAAAAAAGGAGTACAGCTTCAACAAATCACTTACATCCGTTACATTTCATTTTATTTGGGCGATGTACAGTAGACGTAGCAGAGAATGACGAATTTGAATTTATTTTTTGTGTTAAATTACATGCAACTTGAAAAATGTGCTGTATTGCCGGTAACGATATAAATATGCAGTGAATAGTGAGACATTGCACCATACAAGCTTGTAAATGTATTAATTGAACCTGCATTTAGTGGTCAAAAGACAATAAATTGGTGACTTCGAAAAGAGCTTTTAAGCCATCAAAGTATCACAGTTAAAATATAAATTAAAATTGAAACTATTAAAATATTTCAGTAATAGTTCGACCACAAAGACCACAAAGACAGAATTGCACGCCAAGGAACGCTTAAGGAAGGTTCCGCGGCTTTCTTTCAAGTTCGATAGTGACTTTACAGTGTGTAAGGTAGTATGCTATATTGTGGCTATGTAACTTTGGGTGCGAAATCAATCAACTTTTCATTTAAAGAAATTAGTGGAATACTTGGTAATTTTACCAAAAAATATGTATAATATGTGTGTTATGCTCCCCCTCCCCCTCCCCCCCCCCCATAACATGTATATTGCAGCTATTGGTATCTTCCATTGTTAGCCGTATTACTGTGTGTGTGTGTGTGTGTGTGTGAGTGTGTGTGGGCCGAGGCAGCCACAACAGTCTGTGAGTCAGACGGAGTGACAGGACACAGCAGCCATTGTTCTTCTCTCGCTAAGTACACAAAAAGGGGACTTTCTTCTCACAGCTGATTAGGTTGCCTTAGTTCACAGCGTGGGCGGAAATTAGACGCAGCGATATTTTGATTGCTTTCCGGCGTTCAGAGCGTCACCCTACAGGTTTTAAACAGATGTTCATTGCAAGTTCAGAACCAAAAAAATAATTGTGAGCGGGGTCCATGGAACGGAAAAGTTAGCACGTTATGAGGACTGGTTGAAAGATAATCAGGGACTTTGAAGCTATTAACCAAATGTTTCACATTTCACACTGAGCGGAGGGATTCTGTTTCACTTGCACAGTACCGTGTATTTTATACGGGCTTCAAAAAGGGACAAAGAACTAGCTCTCGAAATTGCCGTCCTACTACATAATGCTAGGTACATTTAAACCGTTTTTCAGGCATCCTTGGTGCGTTTTCTGGACTAACTGGCTATGAGTTCTCCAATCACGAGAGCTTCATTCATTCTAGTTTAACCCTAATGAAGACTCCAGGCTTCTTGAGGGTTAATATTGGCTTGATTTATAGCTGCTCGTAGGATGAATGAGATGCCGAACTTGCACGCAGCATTAAGGTGAACTGAAGCAGCTCTATCCTACTGGTCCACATGAACAGCAGCGTGGGTATACCTGTGAACTGTCACGAAGAAGCCAAGAACCAATTTAACTTATCAAAATTAACGGTAAGATTGGTCTTTGCTGTAAAGAGCACGCGGACAGAAAGAGGAACTTGCCACTGCACTGGAGGTAGACGTAATTACTCGCAATTATTTAATTATGGATGTTATTAACAGGAAACGTGGCAAAGGAGTCACACGTAGAATTCATGAACGAGAAATATTACCCATGGGTAGTCATTAGTAGATGACCGTGGATGTTGATTAATACCCAGAAGTAGTCACTTGAAGTGGCGTTTGGAAGGACATATTACACAAAGGCAGTCATTTGCTTTATTCCGTGGATGTGAAATATAAATCAGATGCAGTTGTCTGATTCAGTGGATGGGTAATACAACACAGAGGCAGTCATTTGCCCGATTCCGTGGATGTGAAATATAAATCAGAGAAAGTTCTTTTCTTGATTCCGTAGATGTGAAATATAATCAAAGGTACAAAATTCCGTGGATGATGCCGTGGATGGGTAATAAAACACAGAAGAGGTCGTGAGAAGATGAGGGGACGGGTATTATAACCAGAATTAGCAATTCGATGTGACGTCGACGGGAAATATAATCCAGACGCAGTCACTTGTAGAAACGGTGACAGGAAATATAACCTTAAGGTAGTCACTTGAAGTGACGTTGGCGGGAAATATAATACAGACGCAGTCACTTGTAGATAACGGGGACAGGAAATATAACCTTAAGGTAGTCACTTGAAGTGACGTTGACGGGAAATATAACACAGACGCAGTCACTTGTTGCAAACGGGGGTGGAGAATATAACACAGTGGTAATCACTTGTAGATAACGGGAATGGGAAATAAAACACGAGTGACAGATAGATAGGAAATTAATCACAGAAGAGATTAAAGAACTGAAAAAACGTCAAAAGACGAAGAACAAAGTGAAGACAAAAGAGAACTGAGAGAAAGAGAGAAAAGTGGAAGAACTCATATGAATATGTGGAGATGGTTAAGAGGGTTTCTGAGAAACTGTGGCTTACGATACTCGGTGGTGGTAAGTCAAGCTAACACTGCAAAGTACTTGGCAGTGGTAGGAAAATTAACCCTGGAAAGTACTTCCCTCTATACCAGGACCACAGATTGATTTTTCACTACATATTCACAGATATGACATATCGTCAATCTTCTAACTGTGGCTGGTGGAAAATGTGCCTAGAATATCTGCCGCCCTGGTAGAGGGTAGCAAAGTACTTGGTGGTGGTGCGTCATGTTAACACTCCAAAGTAATTGGTGGTGGTACGTCATGTTAACACTGCAAAGTACTTGGTGGTGGTTTGTTATGTTAACACTGTGAAGTACTTGGTGGTGGTGCGTCATGTTAACACCCCAAAGTACTTGGTGGTATGTCATGTTAATAATGTTAAGTACTTGGTGGCGGTACGTCATGTTAACATTGCAAAGTACTTGGCGGTGGTATGGTATGTCACAAATATAAAAGAAGTCACACGTTTTTTTTCTTCAATAATCTTTTTTGTCGTGCAGAGAGCCTATGATCAGGCAGTAATTATTTCGCTAATGAAGAACATCCTTTTTAAATGATTAAATGAATGCCTTTGTTTAACAATTAGGCCCACTCGAAGTAAAAATTCAAAGAATGCACACGCAGCTCACGCCAAGTGGGGTTATGAGTTGTCTGAAATTGTATATTTTAAGAGCATTTTAATTTACAACTTACTACTGATCGGTAATCGCCTGTCATTGTATTATTTCTCTCCACATATACCGTTTACGGTTACTTTGATATTGTAGAATTTGGTAGAATTGAAGCTTTCAAGTTAAAATATGAGGATCGACATCTTTTTTTTGTTCTTTTTATATTTATTTATTTATATATATGTAAATAATTCATTTTTGTTAGTGCATTTTCTTTTATATTTCATTATGGACAATCATCACATTTTTAGATAATATATTTTATGTTTAACGTTTCTGCTACCTAAAACTACCCATCAGGCTTTTATATAGACCTTAAATTTAAAGTCGTTCAGTCTGTATACCGCTAGTTCTTAGTGTGGAATGCAGGCGGTCTTATAGGGACAAAAACCTGGTCGCTGATAGCACTTACTGCAGCTGTCTGCGGCTTGCTGAAACTGAATGGCCCCATAAAGCAGTGTGAACCAGGTCACGAACCTTTGTTAACAAAGGAAAACACCCTGAAAAACTATAGTGAGCAGAACAGTTCCTGTACTCTACGATAGATTGTTATGCAGGACTACCCTGCCAAACATACGACACACTCTAACATAAAATTACAGTTACACTGTGACATACTACCCACCCCATCAACACCCTGTAAATATAACCTACTCTATGGCCACTCTGTATAATACAGTGTACTCAGAAATGGCATACTTTCCAACAAAACCCACATCATTTGGATCAGAACCTCCAGATAATAATTCATCCATGTCAGGTGTGTAATATCAGGTGTGTTGATGAGTGGTGTGCGAAAGCTCGACGTTTGTTAGGAAAATGCCAACATATATTTAAATGGCACGGAATCTTTGAGACGTTCTTATTTAAAACAGTTAATTTCATCAGACCTTATTTCGATTGGATATATGATGAATTGTTTACATAAGACTATAAATAAGTAAATAAGGTGCATATCTAGACGTACAAGTCTAAAGAGACGGTGAGTGACAGTTTCAGTGGTACGGACAAATATTTAAAGAAACTCAAGAAACCGAGCTGTTTTCTTTACTGCCTTTGTAAGTCAGCTAAATTCCGTTTAAGTTTTGGTTGCTATACACACTTCTATGTTCGTTTCATTTCAGGTCCTATGGATAGTCCTGAACGCAGTAGTCTTCACTTCGACGTACAGGCATTGGAAGTATGCTCCCAAATATTACTATGTTCACCAGATCTTAGGGGTGAGTATCTCGGCCGGTGTAACGTGATAGAAGAGAGTCCGCTTCCCTTTCATTTGTTACAGGTAAGCCTCGCCCTAGATTTTGACCCCCTTAGGTCAGGCTAACCCTAACCATTATAACTAAGTGGAGGGCGGACCTTCTGTAACACGGACCCTCAGTTTCGTCACACCGGCACACCTGTGGCTACACCGGAAGGATGGATAGGAGTTCTGGGAATGGCCTCCATTCCTCATCTCTGATCACTCACCTCAGTACTTAGTCCATTCTTGGACTCGAGGCGATATACTTTAGTTTGATCAAGAGTATGAGAGGCCTTCAATTGCATTAGTTGTGACGATTGTGGATTGTGCTTATTCTCTACACGGTTAATTTACAGTGAGCTTTTCTCGCTGACTGGAGGGTTTGGCAGAGTTGTGAGCTTGGTGCAAGTTGTGATGGGGTGTCTTTGTGTTAGATGTAGCAGAGAGGGCATGTCATGCTAGGTGCGACAGGGAAGAGATTTAAGTGTAACAGAATGTAGTGTGTTAGATGCAACATATGTCGACCTTGACAGAGTTTAGTGTGACAAAAAATATCGTGTTAGATATGACATTATGGTGTGACAGAATCATCAATGTATTGTGTAAGATATGACAGTGTAATGTGACATAACATTGTGTGTTAGATGTAACAGTGTTGTGTGACAGAATTATGACTGTATTTTGTTCTATGTGACAGTGCAGTATAACAGAATTTTGTGTTAGGTTAGATGTGACAGGGTAGTGTGACAGAATGTAGTGTGTTAGATGTGACAGTGTAGCGTGACAGAAAGTAGTGTGTTAGATGTGACAGAGTAGCGTGACAGAATGTAGTGTGTTAGATGTGACAGTGTAGTGTAACAGAATGTAGTGTGTTAGATGTGACAGTGTAGTGTAACAGAATGTAGTGTGTTAGATGTGACAGTGTAGCGTGACAGAATGTAGTGTGTAAGGTGTGTCAGAGGTATGTGGTCTGACAGGAGTCTGCAATTTATTAAGTGTAATGTAATATCACCTGCTGGTTGTTGCTAAAAGTTAAGCAGAAGTGTGATGTGATGGGGGGGGGCAGATACTAGAAATAATCTCTATTTTGTTGATATTTCAGCCTACTCTATGTATTTCCCGAGGCACTGCAGCAGTGCTTAACCTGAACTGCGGGCTGGTATTGTTGCCTATGTGTAGAGTGCTGGTCTCGTTGATGAGGTTTTCCAGGGTAAGTGTTGGCATTAGTTCCTGTGTGTAGTGTTCTTGTCTCTTTGATGAGCTTTTCTTAAGTGTCTAATATACAACAAGTCATCTTGTGTGAGGCAGCAGCTTAAAACTTATATATTTCACCTGTTGCAGTCTTATATTTCAAAATTACATTCTTTATAAATGAAGTTTGTCAGCTGTTCTGGTGTGCCAAGTTCGTTCTTCTACATCGGTTCTTCAGATCTCCAGGTGTACTGTCTGCATTCTTTATAATTATATGTCATTTGTCAGCTGTAAGCCATGTTTGTCTGCCATATCACTGTGTTCTCCAGATCTCCAGACGAAGTGTCCGTATTCTTTATAATTATATGTCATTTGTCAGCTGTATGCCATGTTTGTCTGCCATATCACTGTGTTCTCCAGATCTCCAGACGAAGTTTCCGTATGCTGCTGGATCACTGCAAAGGTTTCCACATGCTGTGTGGGTTAACTATAGTTCTAGCATCAGGTAATTTCCCAGACTAGTGAAATGTTTGATAGTGATGTTGCTGTACTTGAGAAGGTTTTTTGAACAATTAAAAATGTTTCTTTTCATTAAACTTATGATTACATGTATGAGATGGTCTGGAGGGGGTATAAAGAGCAGACTTAATTATCAATAACTTAATTATCAATAACTATGCTGTTGCATAAACCTTAAAATGCTATTAAGTGAATATTGATCTATTTCAGTCATACATTTCATTGGACATTTGTTCAACGCCGCCAATTTTTCCATACACTTCAATCCGTATTATGTGGATGTTAATGGTGCTAGCTACAAAGGCCAGGTATCTCTCTCTCTCTCTCTCTCTCTCTCTCTACATAATCTCTACATAATCATAATTGTGTCAAAAGAAAACAGCTCATCTTTTGTTAACTTGAAACCTGACATGCTTTCTTTTATTTTAGGACCCATTGTATATTGTTGCAGGCTCAGGTAAGTACCAGCACACCCATTGTGTATTGTTGCAGGCTCAGGTAAGTACCAGCACACCCACTGTATATTGTTGCAGGCTCAGGTAAGTACCAGCATGCTGACAAATTTAATCACTCAGCAATGCACATTTTGGTGGTATGTGTTACAGACAATGTTAAATTTGTGGATATAAAACACAATTGCATTCATTTTGAACAAAATAAAAGCTCTGTTATGACACATTTATAAAGTGATATCATTTTATTTTTCAGTTCCAGGGATTACTGGCTTGGTGCTAATGTTAGTGTTATGTACAATGGCAACCACATCTCTCTATGTTGTCAGGTGAGTGGTGTTGACAGGTGAGTGGTGTTGTCAGGTGAGTGATGTTGACTGGTGACTGATGTAAACTGGTGAGTGATGTTGAATTTTGAGTGATGTTGACTGGTGACTGATGTTGAATTCTGAGTGATGTAAATTGGTGAGTGATGTTGACTGGTGAGTAATGTTGACTGGTGAGAGGTGTTGTCAGGTGAGTGGTGTTGACAGGTGCGTGGTGTTGTCAGGTGAGTGGTATTGTCAGGTGAGTGATGTTGAATTCTGAGTGATGTTGACTGGTGACTGATGTTGAATTCTGAGTGATGTAAATTGGTGAGTGATTTTGACTGGTGAGTAATGTTGACTGGTGAGTGGTGTTGTCAGGTGAGTGATGTTGACAGGTGAGTGGTGTTGTCAGGTGAGTGATGTTGAATTCTGAGTGATTTTAACTGACGAGTGATGTTGAATTCTGAGTGATGTTGACTGATGAGTGATGTTGAATGTTGAGTGATTTTTACTGATGTGTGGTTTTGACTGGTGAATGGTGTTGACTGTTGAGTGGTGTTAACTGGTGACTGATGTCGACTGTTGAGTGGTGTTAATTGGTGAGTGTAGTTGACTGGTGAGTGGTGTTGACTGGTGAGTGGAATTAACTGGTGAGTGATGTTGACTGGTGAGTGATGTTAAATGGTGAGTGGTGTTGATTGGTGAGTGGTATTAACTTGTGAGTGGTGTTGACTGGTGAGTGGTGGTAACTGGTAACTGATGTTGACTGTTGAGTGATGTTAACTGATGTGTGGTGTTGACTGGTGAGTGGTGTTAACTGATGTGTGGTGTTAACTGATGTGTGGTGTTAACTGGTGAGTGGTGTTGACTGGTGAGTGGTGTTGTCAGGTGAGTGGTGTTGACTAGTGAGTGGTGTTAACTGATGTGTGGTGTTAACTGATGTGTGGTGTTAACTGGTGAGTGGTGTTGACTGGTGAGTGGTGTTGTCAGGTGAGTGGTGTTGACTAGTGAGTGTGTTGACTAGTAAGTGGTGTTGATGGTGAGTGGTATTAAATGGAGAGTGGTGTTGACTCATTTATCTCTATAGCTGATAGTCCATATTTGAATTTTCATTAACGTTTCAAATGTTTTCAGAATTTTAGGGTGTTGCTACTTTCCAAATTAAAAGCAAATCCGTTATTTTCTAATTATAGCACACATTTTCTTGTTTTTGTTTTAGAACCAACAATTATGATCTCTTTTGGTACACACATCGCTTCTATTTGGTCTTTTATTTTTTCCTGATGGTTCATGCTGTGAGGTAAGTCTTCTGTGATGTTTGTACTGTCAAGGCATTCATCATAATATCAAGCAGACCTTTCATTGTATGGGGTAAGCAAGAACATGAGATATTGGAAATGGCTAGACTGCTATGATCTGTTACATTCTATCACTATCAAAATTTTTGTCTGCTGGAAAACATTTAAAAAAATGACAGGTAATTTTTGGTTGTTCAGATTAAGCTGATTTTGCTAATGTTTCAGAGGAGTTTTAAAGGAGCAAATTAATCTTTCTCGGCATAGTCCTGGCTGTGACAAAGAGAACCTGAACCTCAGCATTCCCTGGCCAGAACCAGAACACTGGGACACACAGGAGACAGTGTGTGAGGAGCCCCCAGTGTTTGGCACTGTGGGTTGTTCAGTATGTATACTACATAATACAGTGTGTGAGGAGCCCCCAGTGTTTGGCACTGTGGGTTGTTCAGTATGTATACTACATAATACAGTGTGTGAGGAGCCCCCAGTGTTTGGCACTGTGGGTTGTTCAGTATGTATACTACATAATACAGTGTGGGAGGAGTGAAATAGTTTATTGGATGAGAATTTGCGTACATCATGGCAGTTTGAAAGTGTATTAAATGGAAACAATTGTTTGGCAGTACCATGATTGTTCAGTGAAATTGTAGAGGCTTAAAGTGAATTTTAATCAAAATTTCAGTCATGGATGTGGGTGGGATTGCCCCTGCTGGTTTATCTTGTTGACCTCACATACAGAAGATGTAAACAAGGACACTGCACACGAATCCTCAACGTTACAGAGCACCCTGGAGATGTCCTTGAAATACGAGTGTGGAAGAAAGGATTCAAGGCCAAACCTGGGCAGGTATAGGATTATATACAACATGGATACAATTAGATTCTAGACAGGATTCCATACCTGGTCAGGTATTGGATTATAAGACCCTGTTCCTATACGTAGATCGATCTAGAAGGATTATTTTTTTCACTGAATTGCCTTTAGCTTAAGCAGCTTAGATGTCTGGTATGCCTGCTGAAGCTGTTAGGGGTTAATAAACAGTAATTTAGCAGCTTCAGTAGCCAGATATCTAAGCCACATAAGCTAAGGCATTTTAGCAAGAAACTGAGAGATGGTTCGATCCTGCTAGATTGATCTAGGTTTGGGAATGGAGTCTAACACCCTGCTTGAAGGGGGTACTTCCTTTTGGCATTTCCAAACAGGAGAAATCTTGAAATGTCATGGCAACTTACATCCTAGAGATTATGGTAGAATATAGAAGAATGATTGAGAAAACTTAATCTACCTTAATCTGAAGATATCATGGAAGATATTATAGATATTGGCAGACACAGGATACAAATATAAATGCAATTATACAGAACATGTGATGTATGAGAATTTACAGTAGATGAGGTAAACTTGAGGATATATTGAGCCAAAGCTGGGATAATTGACCAACATATATATGGTATGTTGTGGTAATAAATGTTATGATAAATTTTCTTTTTCTTATTACAGTTTATTCTTGTCCAATGTCCTGCAATTTCAAGCTTTGAATGGCATCCTTTCACCGTGTCTATGGTAAGAAGACTGACAAACTCCTCGGGCTACTTTTCTATACATATTGTTAATTTCTGTTTCCATTTTTCATTTCTTTGTTTGCTTTAAGCCTTTTATTTTATCATACTGTGAAATACCAGTTGTGAGAAACTGCCAGTTACTGTCACAGTGCAGCCAGTTTTCTTTGACTATTTACAAAAACAAACTGATCCTCAACATTCTCTGGCCTGAATCAGAACACTGTATATTTTATTTCAGTGTCCAACCTCTCAGTGTGAGTCATTTACAATCCATATCCATGCTGTTGGAGACTGGTCAGGTAGGTAAAGTGACAGCATGACTTATGTCAGGTGATATAGCTGATTTTTCAGGTAGGTTAAGTGTCAGCATGACTTATGTCAGGTGATATAGAGCTGATTGGTCAGGTAGGTAAAGTGACAGCATGACTTATGTCAGGTGATATAGCTGACTGGTCAGGTAGATTAAGTGACAGCATGACTTATGTCAGGTGATAGAGCTGATTGGTCAGGTAGCTGAAATAATATCTGTTATCAGTTTTACACATTTGATATAAATTTATACCCTATTGGGGGTGGATCAAGGATTATTTGAAGGGGGGTCCTTGGTTGCAAACCCTCCCCCCCCCAACTTGGCGTGGGGTTTGGGGCTTGCTGAAGGGCCTTGAAAAATTAACAGATGCTGTGGTGTGCTAAAATAGTTAGTAAATATATAATAAGTACAGATGCTGTGGTGTGCTAAAATAGTTAGTAAATATATAATAAGTACAGATGCTGTGGTGTGCTAAAATAGTTAGTAAATATATAATAAGTACAGATGCTGTGGTGTGCTAAAATAGTTAGTAAATATATAATAAGTACAGATGCTGTGGTGTGCTAAAATAGTTAGTAAATATATAATAAGTACAGATGCTGTGGTGTGCTAAAATAGTTAGTAAATATATAATAAGTACAGATGCTGTGGTGTGCTAAAATAGTTAGTAAATATATAATAAGTACAGATGCTGTGGTGTGCTAAAATAGTTAGTAAATATATAATAAGTACAGATGCTGTGGTGTGCTAAAATAGTTAGTAAATATATAATAAGTACAGATGCTGTGGTGTGCTAAAATAGTTAGTAAATATATAATAAGTACAGATGCTGTGGTGTGCTAAAATAGTTAGTAAATATATAATAAGTACAGATGCTGTGGTGTGCTAAAATAGTTAGTAAATATATAATAAGTACAGATGCTGTGGTGTGCTAAAATAGTTAGTAAATATATAATAAGTACAGATGCTGTGGTGTGCTAAAATAGTTAGTAAATATATAATAAGTACAGATGCTGTGGTGTGCTAAAATAGTTAGTAAATATATAATAAGTACAGATGCTGTGGTGTGCTAAAATAGTTAGTAAATATATAATAAGTACAGATGCTGTGGTGTGCTAAAATAGTTAGTAAATATATAATAAGTACAGATGCTGTGGTGTGCTAAAATAGTTAGTAAATATATAATAAGTACAGATGCTGTGGTGTGCTAAAATAGTTAGTAAATATATAATAAGTACAGATGCTGTGGTGTGCTAAAATAGTTAGTAAATATATAATAAGTACAGATGCTGTGGTGTGCTAAAATAGTTAGTAAATATATAATAAGTACAGATGCTGTGGTGTGCTAAAATAGTTAGTAAATATATAATAAGTACAGATGCTGTGGTGTGCTAAAATAGTTAGTCAATATATAATAAGTACAGATGCTGTGGTGTGCTAAAATAGTTAGTAAATATATAATAAGTACAGATGCTGTGGTGTGCTAAAATGGTTAGTAAATATATAATAAGTACAGATGCTGTGGTGTGCTAAAATGGTGAGTAAATATATAATAAGTACAGATGCTGTGGTGTGCTAAAATAGTTAGTAAATATACAATAAGTACAGATGCATCAACTAAAAACTATTAATTTTTTTAAATACACAACATACCCAGCAGGCATAGTTGCGTTGGATCAACGTTGAAAACAGGTTGATACGTTGAATTGCTGTTGATCCAGTTGATCCAGCCACGTTGACTCAATGTTGTATTTTGGTCAATGACACAACCTTGCAGTTTTGGATTGTAATTTAAAATATCAATGATTGAAAACGTGATACTTTGTTTATCAATACTGTAACTAAATTTATCAAAATAATAACAAAATGGTTTTAAAGTAAAAGTGACAGTTGTTTTGTGTCTTTAGTTAACTAGTGAATTTTCTTAACTTGTGGCTGCTTATTTTAAGTTTGTGCACTGCAGTTGTGGTTCGAGTCATTGAATTTGGGCACTTGTGCTCACAAACCTGAGGCTTGTGATTGCAAATGGCAATTATCATTTATCATGTCTGTAACTCTACTGTGCTTTAACATTGCAGGGCGTCTGCAGCAGTATTTGACAGGAAGTGAGGGATGGAAATATGTTTTACCACCTCTGGCATCCAGCAAGGAGGACTTGGACAAAAGGCAAGCTATGGACACAGACAGTGCACTAGCATAATACCAGTTGTGGCATGGAGGAGGATATAGTGTGCTCATTGTAATAAAAAATTATAGTGTAGAACAGTTGAAGAGCTGAAACAGAAAGTTAGAAGTACAGGGATAAAGTTTGCAATTCCTGTTAGGCCATAGCCTTTGTACATAAGTTAAAATACCAAGGACAATAATAAATAATAATCATTATTATAAATAGTGGTAGCAGTACTGTAGTAGAAGTAGTACTAGTAGTAGAAGTATTGGTAATAGTTATCACTGTACATGGTGTTTCTGTTGTAGACTTGTGATAGAAGATCCCTATGGTAGTCCCAGTGGAGACATACTGAAGGTGTTAATCACTGTACATGGTGTTTTTGTTGTAGACTTGTGATAGAAGATCCCTATGGCAGTCCCAGTGGAGACATACTGAAGGTGTTAATCACTGTACATGGTGTTTCTGTTGTAGACTTGTGATAGAGGGTCCCTATGGTAGTCCCAGTGGAGACATATTGAAGTACCGAGTAAATGTTCTGATTGCTGGTGGAATAGGAGTGACTCCCTTCACAGCATTTCTACATCATCTTTACAGGTGAGCACCAGGCACTGCATGGTCCATAGAGCCCCCCCCCCCCCAACTTCCCCTGTCTTTGTACTTGATCTTTCTGATCAAAGTTACTTTAAATTATTCACCTACAACTTCATTTCAGAACTCTAGATCACTTAATTATTTCTTTTCACAATATACTTACTCACTTATCCTCTAGCTTTGAGCCATGTACTATATACTAGTAGCTACTTAAGTTTGGAATACCTGCAAAATATCCTGCATGTGTTTCTGTTTTCTCTTTTTTTAGTAATGAAAAACTACACTTGCAAAATATAGAACGCATCTATTTCATTTGGATGTGCAAGGACTTGCGAAGCTTCAAGTGGTTTACACAATTATTGTGTAGGTTATACCAAAAGGTATTGTGAATTGCTCTTATACATCCATATACATAATCATGGTCATGTTTTGATCACTTATACTGGTGTTAGCTGAGGAGGGGGGAGGCACAAAGATAAACGTCTTTTTTGTAAAAAAATAAAAATAAAAAATAAATAAATAATAATAATAAAAATTTAAAAATAGTAAAAAATTAACAAGGACAAGCTATATAGGGCACAGGAATGGAAATTACTTGGATGAATGTTATTTCATTCCTTATGCATTTTTATGGGTCAGTACGAGGGGAGCCCATATATATAGGTCAACCAAATTGAATTGGCAAGTAAACTACTTTTGCTAAAGTTCACTTTTTTCACCCCTTAGTTCACTTTTCAACAATGTGTTTGTTGACAAACTTTCAGCTTTGGTCGTTGAACCGTCCAGATCTCCTGTGTATCAGACTACATGTCACAGCCCCTGTCCCTGGGTCTCAGTTGAAGGTATGGCACTGGACTGAATGTGCTTGTATTGACACTTAGTTCTTCTTAGTTCATTAATGAGACAACTTGTGTGCAGATTAAATATTGTTCAAATCAATTCCTATTTGTTATCATGCTTTGCAGATTTGGGGGTTTTGGCTAGGAAAACGGACATCTATTCTGAATCAAAACTTGATCTAGGTTCTATGGCATAATGGTAAAAAGGTGAACTTTTTCAGAAAAAAGGCCCAACCCCTTTGGAGTTGCTGGCTACAGACCTGGTTTGTGCTTTGCTCAACAGTTTTAAGACTATTCAAAGATTTTCTATCAATTCCAGATGTTTGTAAAGCAGTACCCTTTACTAGAAAAGCGCCTGTACATAGGGCGAAGACCAGACTGGCCCTTGACACTCATGGAGATCTGTTCATCACACAAAGGGTAACTGATATATGGACAAATGTTGTTATGTGTTAGGTGTGACAGGATTGACATTGCTCCAGTGTGTTAGGTGTGACAGGAGCAGTGTGTTAGGTGCAACAGGAGGGACATTGCCCCATTGTGTTAGGTGTGACAAGAGGAGTAGTCTCCATTGTGTTAGGTGTGAGAGGTGTAGTGTGACAGGAAGAGCAGTGCTTAAATGTGTTATGTGTAACAGAAAGGGCACTGCTCCAATGTCTTTGGTTTGACAGGAGCAATGCTCTAGTGTGTTAGGTATGATAGGAGCAGTGTGTTAGGTGTGATGGGAGCCGTGTGTTAGGTGTAACAGAAAGAGCAGTGCTATAGCGTGTTAGGTTTGACAGGAGCAGTGTATTTGGTGTGACAGGAGCAGTGTGTTAGGTGTGACAGGAGCAGTATTTTAGATGTGACAGGAGCAGTGTGTTAGGTGTGACAGGAGCAGTATATTAGATGTGACAGGAGCAGTGTGTTAGGTGTAAAAGGAGGAGCAGTGTCCCACTGTGTTAGGTGTGACAGGAGGAGCAGTGTTCCAGTGTGTTAGGTGTGACATGAAGAGCAGTGCCCCAGTGTGTTTGGTGTACCAGGAACAGTGTGTTAGGTGTGACAGAGGCAGTGTGTTAGGTGTGACAGGAGGAGCAATGCCCCAATGTGTGCAGCAAGCTATAATATTGACATGGAAATGCATTCTTACCAGTTGTGCTAAGGAGGAGTGTTTTAGGTATGACAGGAGCAGTGTGTTAGGTGTGACAGGAGGAGCATTGTCCCAGTGTGTTTGGTGTGACAAGAGGAGCAGTGCCTCAAAGTGTTAGGTGTGACAGAAGCAGTATATTAGGTGTGACAGGAGCAGTGTGTCAGGTGTGACAGGAGAAGCATTGTCCCAGTGTGTTTGGTGTGACAAGAGGCGCAGTGCCCCAAGGTGTGTGACAGAGGCAGTGTGTTAGGTGTGACAGGAGTAGCAGTGTCCCAGTGTGTTAGGTGTGACGGGTGCAGTATGTTAGGTGTGACAGGGGCAGTTTGTTAGGTGTGACAGGAGCAGTGGTTAGGTGTGACAGAGGCAGTGTGTTAGATGTGACAGGAGGAGCAGTGTTTTGTGTGTGACAGGAGCAGTGTGTTAGGTGTGACAGGAGGAGCAGTGTGTTAGATGTGACAGGAGGAGCAGTGTTTTGGGTGTGACAGGAGCAGTGTGTTAGGTGTGACAGCAGAGATGTGTGAAGTGTGACAGCAGTAGTGTGTTAGGTGTGACAGGAGCAGTGTGTTAGGTGTGACAGCAGAGATGTGTGAAGTGTGACAGCAGTAGTGTGTTAGGTGTGACAGGAGCAGTGTGTTAGGTGGACAGTGCCCCAAAGTGTGCAGCAAACTATAATATTGACATGGGAATGCATTCTTACCAGTTATGCTAAGAATTATTCACAAATTATGACTTCTCATAGTTATACCTTCAGCAGTATTCATGGTGTTTTACTCTATCTTCTTTTCGCCACTTTCAGAACAGACATTGGTGTTTTCTGTTGTGGACCAAAGGGCTTAGCAACCAATGTTGAGGAGGAATGTTCCAGAATTTGGCATAAAAATGCAAATCTTTTCTGTCATCATGAATCATTTTGATGACTGTGAGTGCTCTATAAAATGTAGTATTTAAAACAATGTGCCACCATGTGCAATATATATATATATATATATATATATATATGAAAATAATTCTTATGAATTTGGATGCCAGTTCTGGATATATGAAAATAAACTGTTTTATTATGCATTTATTATGTATTTTTCCATTCACTTCTAAGTGTTTACATCAGCTTTCACTAAACTGTTTGGGTCCTTTTTGCAACTGTGGGTTTAAAGTTTCTATAATATTAACATAAAATAGCCACGCTTTTAAGTGTACTCATATTGGACTCATGCCCATGGAGCTCTGCTGAAAGACGTACAGTGTGCAGTGGAAATATTAGCTTTTTCACCTGTCTTCATAAAGGGATACTCACTACTGTTGACAAATTAACTTTCTGTAAGCCTTATTTCCAAAGCACTTTAAATGTCCACTGGCATACGTGAAACTCACCAGTTTCCATCTTCATTAATAATGGTTCAAAAAACAATCTCTTGAATGGATTAGTAGATCAAATTTTTCTCAATAGTTTTGGAAATGGTGTATCTTGTTGAAGAAGGAAAAGTGTCAATAATTAATGTTTGCTATTAAAAGTTCAAATGTGCACTGTATCCAATGCAAAATTACAGGGCAATGACTTGCAGAAGTTTGGGTTTTGCAGGGTTTGGAAGTTAATCATGACATACCAAGGTTTCACACTGGTGGAACAGTAAATCCAGCTCAAAATGTGTTGAAAATGTCACATTTGAGTTCTTATACAAATAGTGCTGTCAAAGAAAAAGGATGGTACAAATTTCAAAACAATATCCCATACCAAACAGAAGTACAATATTATCATTTCATCTTCCCAAGATTTGGAAACTGAAACAACATGAACTACACGAATTACTTCATCAGTACTTATTTCTTTATTGTGTGGTTAAGACCATATCTATAAATAACAATAACAACTAGACTGTATCACTTATACATAAAAAAACCAAAAACAAAATTTGCTCAGTAAGTTTGACTATGAGTGTGGGTAACATTGACAAAACAAAAACCTATTTGAAAATTTCAGTAATTTGCACCCCAGCACTAGAAATTGCCTTTCTGCAACAAATGAGGCTTGTGAAACAGCAGTCAATACATTTTATTCAACAGCAAATGATTGTTTGCTTGATTCAAAGCATAATAAATAGTTAGCTTTAGTTTGTGAGAGAAGGTTATGAAATTTTGCCCCAAGAATTATTTTTTCATATTTATGTTTACATCAGCTATACTCCTTTTAGGAGTATGTCCTACCTTTCTGCCATGAAGAATATCCTACCACATATCTAGTGTGTAGTTTAACTGCTGTAGGGCACATGTTACACAAATACCAAAAAACAAGAAGAAAGGCACTGAAAATTGACATATTAAAATTCATTATATATTATAATTTATTAAATTTGAATATTCTAGTTTTCAAACTTGACCTGCATTTTGGCAACAAATTACCCTTACTAATTTGAGTTTGACTACTATCTTAAATTAGTATCACTGCAATTTTTTTACTTTCTACATTTACATGAAAAAACTAATCTATTGATAATTAACATATCAATAATCAATATCTTCAACAAAAACAAAATTACATTTTTTAACCCAACAAGCTGTCAGAAAAAAAAAAACATGGATGAAAATCGTCACTAAAGGAATAATTTGGAAAAGACAGGTTACAAGCACCTCACACACCTACCAGCAGGTGTCAGCACCTCTCACACCTACCAGCAGGTGTCAGCACGCCACACACCTACCAGCAGGTGTCAGCACATCACACACCTACCAGCAGGTGTCAGCATGTCGCACACCTACCAGCAGGTGTCAGCACCTCACACACCTACCAGCAGGTGTCAGCACCTCACACCTACCAGCAGGTGTCAGCACGCCACACACCTACCAGCAGGTGTCAGCACATCACACACCTACCAGCAGGTGTCAGCATGTCGCACACCTACCAGCAGGTGTCAGCATGTCGCAGACCTACCAGCAGGTGGCAGCACCTCACACACCTACTAGCAGGTGGCAGCACATCATCCATCTACCAGCTTCACTGAATATCACAAATTCATACAGAATGAGTCAGACAATCTATATTATGTAATATCTTTACAAAAATTTATACTCACTCAAATAAAACAATTAATCTAATCTTTCTAAGTGCAAGGGTGTTCATTGCAATGTGGTATATGCCCTGCCTATTTAGCAGAAATGTGGTCTACAAAGAACTGACAATGAACAGACAATCAACAGACACCTTCTTGCTGAGAATCCCAGCAAGTAAGCAGCACTTCAAGTTAAAACTTACCATTAACTATTAAAAAGGGTTACATATATGATTGTTTGCAAGCACTGCATTATCGATACATAAGCTGGTATATTTACATGAATGTGAAAGATGGTCACATATCATATAACCCTTTTGCATGCACTGTTCACGAAACAAAAATCTTAAAATTTACTCACATGCTTACTTTAACAAAAAGAGCTACCAATTCAACCATCAATTTCAAGGTATGCAACTCAGCCCTTCACAAGAAAAAAATCATACAATATCTTTCAGGTAAACTCCTTTTATTATAGCTAAAGGAAAAAACTGTCATATACTAAATAATTCTACATTCACTCTGTAGGCAAACAATTGCATGACAATCTGTATGTGACCAAGTGAGAACTTATTAAGTAATGTGTTATCTTACAGATGTAGATACAAACTATATAAAATATAACATAATAAACCTAGCAGCATTCACAGAACATGGTAAACTGCACTAAACTAGACTTACAGCACAATTATAAGCAGCCTCCTCTCATGTGGATCTGCTACACAGTAGCAGAAGGTGGAGTCGCACTGCATAAATAACTGTGCTCACCGATGTTATGAGATGAAGTTGCCTTGCAGGCGAGGTTGCATATTTTGTTCTTCTTCTTTCACTACCAAGATCACTGAGCTAGAGTCTTGTGCAAAGTTGACTGAAGAATTGTCATAAGGAAAGTTCATACTATCAAAACTGGGCATTACTGGTTGACCCATGACCTGTCCTTCACCTTGACCTTGCATCATAGGTTGACCTATGACCTGACTTTGACCTTGACCCTGCATCATAGGCTGGCCTATCACCTGACCTTGCATCATAGGCTGTGTCTGTGTCACCATGTTCTGTCCCGTGGCAAAGCCAGGCCCCTTGTCCCATCATCTGTCCATTCCCCTGCATTGCCATCTGGCCTTGACCTTGATGGTGCCTCAAGCACTGCGGTATCAGCTGACCTTGGCTGTCCGTCATAGGGATTGGGGGCGTGTCCATGGTGGGGTTTTCTGTACATGGGACACAGGCTGGTACACCAGGACCTGTCCCACCAGAGTTCTGGACAAGAAACTGACTGAATAAGTTTAGAGCATCCTCAATGCTGTCCTCACTGTTCCTATCCTTGTCCTGTACCTGGGCCACCTCTTGGCCGTCAGAGACATGCACCGAGGGCTCAATGTTCTCTGGCACCTGTGAGAAGATCTCTGCTGCCTCAGCTGCAAGTGTGCTCAGATCAGAGTTGTTAACAGCCAACTGTTGAGGCTGTGTTCCTGCACTGGGGTTCTCATCCACTGACTCTACTGGCTGGGGGTGAGTTGTTACATTGGCAGCTATAAAAATACATGAAATAAAAAGAAAAGGACATATTTCAATTAAGGTGGAGCAATGTATTCAATTCTGCCAGTTTAATTTAAATCTGAGTCATATGGAAATCCCACCTTTAGCTGTGTTTATACAAAGCAGAAGCAAATTAACCATAGAGCCTAACTCCTATGTTACGAAAAAAAGAATAAAGTTATCTACATATAAGCTGTCCTTACCTTGAAGAGCATCCACACTGCAGGCAGCCACCACCACAGGACCAATTCCTGGCAGATTCACTGCTACTGGCTGCTGCCCCAAATACATAGATGTCAGCAGTTGTTCTGCAGACATACCAGCTAAGTTCTGACTAGATATACATGGAGTTTGCTGAAAAGATATATGGATGTCAGCACTTGTTCTGCAGACATACCAGCTAGCACACGAACGAAACATAGTGCCTCGATATGAAACCAGACAACTTTTGTGTTTTTAATCTCCAAATACGAAAAAAAATCAATCAAGCTAATAAATAGGCTAACGTTAAGAACGTATTATATCGTTTGTTTTATATTAATTATTATTTAAGATCATAATAATGAACAAGTCGCATTTGGATGTACTCCATGCTATGACCTTTATATAAAAATGGCAATTTTTACGAGATGACAAATTGTATCGCATTGTTTGGTTCCATTGCCTCGCTTTCAAAAATTAGAACAGGCGCTCCAAAATCGTAAAACGAAGTTAAAAATTCCCATACATATGCCATACTTAATACATACTTAATACATACTTAATACACACAAACACACTGGAGGTATAACTTACCATGTCTGCACTTGCTGCAGAGGAAGCTCCTTGACCAGGACTCTGAAATATTACAAATAATCCAATAATTGTTTATGTCACATCTAACACACTGTACTATGACCTGGGTTATAAAATAGTATGATTGTTCACACAATGTTACTGTCACATCTAACACACTGTACTATGACCTAGGTTATAAAATAGTATGACTGTTAACAAAATATTACTGTCACACCTAACACAATGTACTATGACCACAGCTCTTAAATAACACAACTATAATATCCATAGAACTGTCAGGCTGCACTCCTTATTCTATAATAAAATGTGAAAATAATATACAATTCAGTAAGTATATTGATACATTCTATAGCAAGGTCTTACCTGCTGCTGTTGCTGTGATTGTTTTAATTGCTGCTGAAACTTCTCTTGTTCTGGCATCATTTGATTGCTGCTGTCAGATTCACTCCCTGCTGACTGCTCATGTCGCCCTACATGGGTCTTCAGGCCATACTGAGTAGTGAATGCCTTACTGCAGCCATCAGTGGGACAGTGGTATGGTTTCTCACCTAAAACACAATCACATCATCTCACCTACCACAATGAACACACTACATCACATTATCTCACCTACCATAATGAGCACACCGCATCACATTATCTCACCTACCACAATGAACACACTGCATCACATTATCTCACCTACCATAATGAGCACACCGCATCACATTATCTCACCTACCACAATGAACACACTACATCACATTATCTCACCTACCATAATGAGCACACCGCATCACATTATCTCACCTACCACAATTACATAAAGCATCAAATTCCTTGTATGAAATTCTGTTTAGAAATATGTGCTGTTTACAGCCAAAGTAGAAAATACAATACTTGTATCTGCTCTTCAATACCTGTGTTCTACAATAACTGTATGAGTTCAACAATTCCTGTATTTGTTTTTTAATATCTGTGTTTTTTTACTGTACCAGTGTGTGTTCTACAATAACCGTATGAGTTCAACAATTTTTGTATAAGCTCTTTAACACCTGTATTTTACTGTATCTGTGTATTCTACAATACCTGTATGAGTTCTTATGTGTGTCTTTAAATGATGACTAGCTGCAAAAGCTTTGCCACAGCCCCCTTCTTCACATCTGAAATAACAAACAGTTCTGGGATCACAATCCTTTAATCTTGCTCTTGATAAACTGTGTGTAGAATGGCAGCACTAGATAAAGTGAAAAATCCCATCAATGCAAACTCCCAAGTTTACTGCTGTTATTATAACCTAGATTCACCCCAAAATTCTTTACGAGTTATATTTCAGTATCCCTGTAAGTACTTACTTGTATGGTTTTTCTCCTGTGTGTGTTCTTAAGTGTTTTCTCAGATCACTGAGGGTTGTAAAAGCTTTGCTGCAGTCTGAGGCTTCACAGTTAAAGGTATTTCCAGTATGTAGACGCTGGTGTGCTTTAAGTCTAAATATGAGGTAAACAAGATGTTGAACTTTGTAAACAAAAAAAAAGGGGGAGGGGCAGTCACTGGTGCTCTTAAAATCTGAATTATGAAGAAAAAGAGGTGTTGACTTTTACTACAAGAAGGGGTCAATGGTGAGCTTTAAGCATGAAGTAAGAGGAGAACAAGGTGTTCATCTTTGTTACAAGGAGGAGCTTTAATGATGAGTTTGAAGTATGAACTATGAGGACATTAAGCGTTGGCTTTTGTCATAAGAAAGGGGTGCTTTACTTACCTGCCCAATAGAATTTGAGTTAACTAAACCTTTACTTGACAAAAAACATGGTTGATAAATACACAGATATTTACTTTATATGCTAAAAAGGTTGAAAGTAATTAACAAATTTATTAGGATGAACAAATAATAGATACAGCAATAATAAAGGACTGCATTATTAGGAGCATGCATCATACATTATGAGTGGAAAAAATTGAATGTCTTACCTGTATAAAGTATTGAAAGCCTTCTCACAGTTACTTATACTGCATTCGTAAGGTTTTTCTTTGGTGTGCACACGCACATGTATTTTCAAGCTATAAGATGTCAGAAAAGACTTGCCACAGTTCTCTTGGTTGCAGACAAAAGTATACTCTCCTGTAACAAAGTAAGCATTGATTGTAATAATGTGTGTCAAGATGGCCACTGGTCAGAGACTGTCCACTTGGGTTGGTATTAGGGTAATAGGTAAATCAGGATAATTGGTTAGGATGGTCACTGGTCAGAGACTGTCCACTTGGGTTGGTATTAGGATAATAGGTAAATCAGGATAATTGGTTAGGATGGTCACTGGTCAGAGACTGTCCACTTGGGTTGGTATTAGGGTAATAGGTAAATCAGGATAATTGGTAAGGGTAAGGATAAGCATATGGTAAACTGACTACTTCCCTTCAGTTATCATAATGAGGATCAGTGTTCATTCTAGAAATGTTTCAATATGGGACAAAGGGCCCCCATCATTAAAAAAGTGGGTCATTACATTTTGAAGTGGGCCCTTGTTCAAATCTTGAAATTATAACATGTAACACGTTGTTTTACTGCTGTGGTTTTAATATTCAGAGATGAAAAATACTTTATATAATAAAAATAATATTTTGACTTGCAGGTTCACATTCAATAGGTTATCCCAACTTTCTAAAATAAGAGACTTCGCGCTCAAAATTTTGTTTACAAACATAAGATTACACTAAAATATGTTGATGATTCTTTCACCAATAACCAAATTCTTACTGAAACAAGATTTTAAAAACCATTTTTGGCTTCAATTTATGAAAAAATCCATGAAATTTAATTAATTATATAAGGTGTAATAGCACATAAAAAGCTACCAGATTGAGAATGATATCACACACATAAAAATCAATAAGAGAATTTGTCCCTTTTTTGAAACCTACAAAGTGTACGGCTCACTGCTTGTTATAAATTCTACGTTTCTTTTCCTTTTTCCAAATATCTAAGGCACTCTTAAAGTCAAAGTCCCCAATTGCCTTTCCTTCTATCATAATGAGCAAGCACTGCTGAAGTCTTGTTTCAGACAGTCTGTTCCTTCTGTGGTTTTTGATGTAGTTTTGAGAACTGAATGTTCTCTCACAATCTGAAGTGTGTATCGTAAGGATGAGAGAGATTGCAGCCAGCTTCAACAAATTGGGAAAGTCTTCACTATGGTGTGTTTTGATAATGCTCCACAGTTTGCAGGTGGCGTCTCTTGCATTCTGAAAACCAATTCTTTGAGTTTAGACCATTCACTCATAGCTTGTTTTTCAATTATTATTGGCACTGATTTGGACCCATGATGTTCAATAATGTTACCATAATGGCTAGCAAGTTTCTGTATAGGGCCTNAGGACAACCCAGACTGCCAAAACATGGCAAGACAAGTGTGACTGCCAGCATCATGGCAGGACAACTGAAACTTCCAGAACATAGCGGGACAACCGAGACTGCTAGCTGGATGGCTTCAATGGCAGCCATTGTAATCCTTTCAGAATGGGAGTTATATGATGTGCACTGTTGCACTTTATTTGACAAACCAGTTTTGCAGCCGAGTTTTGAATAACTTGTAATTAATTTTTTTAATCTGATAGTCACATGTACCAAAGAGGAGACTTGCAGTAATCTTATCTTGATGATTTTTTAAAATGTATTTACTAATTTTTCAGTGGTTCTGTTATAAAACACTTTTCTTACTTTTCCAATGTGCATAAGATGCTGATTTACACACTTCAGATACATGCTTCCCCACACAGTGCCATTTTCATTGAGGATAACTACCTAGAAAGTCTTCACTATGGTGTGTTTTGATAATGCTCCACAGTTTGCAGGTGGCATCTCTCGCATACCCCATTCTGAAAACCAATTCTTCAAGTTTAGACCATTCACTCATACCTTGTTTTTCAATTATTATTGGCACTGATTTGGACCCATGATGTTCAATAATGTTACCATAATGGCTAGCAAGTTTCTGTATAGGGACTTAACCCAAATTTTCTCTTTCTGACTCAGACAAAAAGCTTAGTGGTCTCATGCTCAAATACCCAAATGCTGTTACCATATCCAAGTGATCCTGGGGAAATCTGGCATTTATGTTGTTAATGAGATTGTCAATAAATTGACACTAAATTGCCTTGCATTGTTTTTCATAATTAGCACAACAAGTCAGAAGGTGGTCCCTGAAGAATTTACATTGACCTGTTCCCACCTTCAGGAGAAATTCCTCGATGTAGCTGCCAGGTTTACCAGACAACCCTTCACTACTTGTGGCATGGTCCCTGTGCTTTTGCAGTTCTCTCAATGCATGCTTCACATTAACATCCACCAAGGCTGGGTCAAGATCTTTCTTTTGGAAGAGTAAACATAGCTCTGTGACAATGCTGAGGATGGACAAAAGCATATGGGTGACAAAAACAAAACTGAATTGTGAAAGTTTCTTTGCAAAACCTTTTGCCTTGGCATCACTTGCCCCCATTTCAGACATATAGGACACTTATGACCCATAAGTCCTGTAGATTGTTTCTATTGCTTTGTAGTAGGGCAACCATCGAACCTCATGGACTTCATTGCACTTTAAAATAGGTTCATCCAGCAGCTCCTGAATAGCTGTGATTCTGTTTACCCTGACAGATGATGCTTTAAAGTAATAAAATATACTGGTAATAGTTGATTGATAGTCCTTCATATAGTCTATAGCATTTGCTGCCTGGCTAGTACATAAAGCCAATCTGTGGGCAATACAGTGTATGTGAACCATCGCAGGATTTTCAGCAAGCAGTCTGCCTGCAACTCCATTTCCCATGCTGGTCATGCTCGCTGCACCATCAGAACCAAAACCATATATCTTACTAAGGGGGATCTCCTTTGATTTAAGATGGTCTTTGATAGCTGCTGCAACTGTGGCACCCTTGCCATCTGTGACATTTATGTCGGCTACAAAGTGGGTAGAAGGAACAAAGTTATCATCTAAAAGTCTGACACATATAACCAACTTTTTTGTTACTGTTATATCAGTGCTCTCGTCTGCTAGTATTGTTAGAAATGGTGAAGACTTCATTTTCTGAAGCAAGTCTTCCTCAACTGTGGCAGCAATAGCAGCAACCATATCCCACCCTGCTGTATCAGAATTATACTTTGCATTGTCTCCTTGGTCTAAGTATGAAAGGTTGGGGCAATCCAGGTGCCGTAGCAACTCTATTAGGCTTCCAAACTTTCGAATTGCTATGCCCTCTTGAACTAGCCAGTACACGGACTTCATTGCTGACATGATTGCTCCATCTTTACCTAAAAATGTTTTATAAACGTTACTTTAAATTTGAATTTGGACATTATAACCTGCATAAAATGTTAAATAGTGTTGAAGGTACCTGCAAACATTACTCCAGCACACAATCCCTTACTTTATTTTTCCCTTAATCACCATGAACAGAGACCAAATCTCTCGACACACTAAAATTATGAACAAGGCAGCAAAGCTGTCAAATGTACAGACAAAAAGCAGACAATAACAATGCACAAAACAGGCTACTGTCAATTCTGATGCAAAAGTACATTATGTGTAACTGCAAATTCAACATCAAATTTTAATTATGCTCAACAGGTAATACCAATGTAAGTGAAATGTGTAACAAGCATAAGGCTTCAGGCCCATGGGAGTTTAAGTTCACACTTTGAAAATGCCAGAATGAGAAATATGAAAATTTCACATAAAACTGCTTAAATTCAATAATAAATGATAACCCACTTGAGCTGGCTTTCTTATTTGAACTGCATGCCAATCCTACAAATCAGACTTGTAAGTTGAAAATAATAATAAGTAACACAGTTTTCTTTTCATAATGTTTGTAGTAGCAGTGCAAAAAGATTTTTGTCAATTTTGATGTAACATNTATATATACAAAAAATAATGTTCAGGGAAAAAACATGAGCATGACGCCCTGTATCAATGCTACGCAGCAAACGCATTGTTTACATAGTTGTTCAGCATTGCGATATCCCAGAATGCACTTTCGAGAGTTCTTCAAACTACACAAATATAATTACAACACGTGGGTCCGGGACCATCACGATAATCAACAACGTACAGTCGTACACTAGTGTCACTTTGCTGGCTCATGCTCCGTGTTACAAATAAATATTGACAAAAATAACATCTTACCTTCTAAAGCTCTGCAAAAAGCCTGTTTAGCTTGAGCTGCCTCCGACGTTTCTTGTATGGCAAGCTTGTGGTCAGCAGATGTCTCATGGCGCATAAGGGTACTGGTTCGAAAGTTGTTAGTTCCTTGAAAAAATATATTGTCCTTCTTTTTTTCAACGCATAAGCTGCAATACATCAAGACTTATAAGAATCTCTCCACTTTTTTTTAAATGACCTTGATGTTGCATTGCTAGTTGACGCGGTATCAGAAGTCGTGACAGCAGCATGTACATCTACTTTTGCTCTCTTCTCCGGTGGAAATGTCTGCTGTGTATTATCATTGTCTCCATCGCTACTATTCTGGTCCGTTTTGGGGTGATCTTTGGGATCGACTTTCTTAAAAAAACTTGAAATAACACTTTGCTTCTTCTCCGCCATCATGTACAATGTACGGGTTGATCAATTGATCTACATGGACAATTAATCTCAGCCTATCAGGGATTCAAGAAAGGAGGGGCGATCGCCACTGACTTGCATAAAAAGCATGACGTCAGCATAAATTAAGATATTTGTTAAAAAAACTGGGACGAGCAAAGAATATCTTCATTACGTCTAACATTAGATCTTAATGTCGAGAGATGTCGAGTAAACAATCAAACTTCGGTCGTGAATTTGCCGAATTGGAGGGCGCGTTTAGAACACAAAAATGCGCCGCTGTTAATTCTCTTGAATTTGTCGGCGCAGCTCACTCTACGAATTGCGTCAACCAAATTTTTTCTGCGCCAATGACGCAAGGGCGCATCCTAGAATGAACACTGAGGATAATTGGTTAATCATGCTAAATGGTAATGATCAGGAGGTAAACTGACTGCCACAGAGGCAAGATTTGTCAAGAAGTGATAAATCAGAATACTTTTAGTGACATTAGTTCTTGGTATTTAGCTGTTAAAAATGTTCAAAAAGTGTTACTTGTTTTAAGATAAGTCCAACAAAAGTTTGTCGAGACACTTTCCAAAAAGTGTGTTTTACTCCACTTTATCCCTTTAAAATGTGTGTTGTTATTTTACTCCACTTTATCCCTTTAAAATGTGTGTTGTTATTTTACTCCACTTTATCCCTTTAAAATGTGTGTTGTTATTTTACTCCACTTTATCCCTTTAAAATGTGTGTTGTTATTTTACTCCACTTTATCCCTTTAAAATGTGTGTTGTTATTTTACTCCACTTTATCCCTTTAAAATGTGTGTTGTTATTTTACTCCACTTTATCCCTTTAAAATGTGTGTTGTTATTTTACTCCACTTTATCCCTTTAAAATGTGTGTTGTTATTTTACTCCACTTTATCCCTTTAAAATGTGTGTTGTTATTTTACTCCACTTTATCCCTTTAAAATGTGTGTTGTTATTTTACTCCACTTTATCCCTTTAAAATGTGTGTTGTTATTTTACTCCACTTTATCCCTTTAAAATGTGTGTTGTTATTTTACTCCACTTTATCCCTTTAAAATGTGTGTTGTTATTTTACTCCACTTTATCCCTTTAAAATGTGTGTTGTTATTTTACTCCACTTTATCCCTTTAAAATGTGTGTTGTTATTTTACTCCACTTTATCCCTTTAAAATGTGTGTTGTTATTTTACTCCACTTTATCCCTTTAAAATGTGTGTTGTTATTTTACTCCACTTTATCCCTTTAAAATGTGTGTTGTTATTTTACTCCACTTTATCCCTTTAAAATGTGTGTTGTTATTTTACTCCACTTTATCCCTTTAAAATGTGTGTTGTTATTTTACTCCACTTTATCCCTTTAAAATGTGTGTTGTTATTTTACTCCACTTTATCCCTTTAAAATGTGTGTTGTTATTTTACTCCACTTTATCCCTTTAAAATGTGTGTTGTTATTTTACTCCACTTTATCCCTTTAAAATGTGTGTTGTTATTTTACTCCACTTTATCCCTTTAAAATGTGTTTTTATAATTCTATCAAGACAGACTACCTTTGTGTGTTTTCTGATGTGTCTTCAGGTTGCCAGCTGTGCTGTAAGTTCTGTCACAATTTTCAAATGAACAACAGTACCTGCAAAGAAACATCCTCCATCAACCTAGAGATTTGAGCACAGGATTGCAATTAGAAGATTGACCATATTTAGCCAGAGACATCATGTGTGAATATCTACTGAAAAATCAATCTGTGGGACCTGGTAAAGGGAAGTGCTGGACTGGCATATGCAATGCCTCTACATATATTTTAGTCTAAAATGTGCCTGACTTCACCCATCTTACCTCTTCACTTCAGTGACTTTAGTCTCTACATGTATCCTAGTCTAAAATATGCCTGACTTCACCCATCTTACCTCTTCACTTCAGTGACTTAAGTCTCTACATGTATCCTAGTCTAAAATATGCCTGACTTCACCCATCTTACCTCTTCACCTCAGTGGCTTTAGTCTCTGGGTTGCGGCTCTCCACAGTCAGCGTGGCGTGTGAAGGGTTTGAAGGCATCCTGTTACTGCCAGGGTGGATGTGCATCATTATCTGATTGTCTGAGATCGTATGATGTATATACCTAAAGTATTAAACCAATGTCACGAATAACATAAAATGTACACATCTAATATAATATGATGGTTACATAAGCCAGATTGCTACCAGTGCTGGAATACAACATATTGCTGTCACGCTTGGTTTGATTGGTTAGTAAACAGCTGTTGTAAAATTGTCATATGATTAATGAAACAGGTGCAGAAACCTAAAAAAACACATTACATTACCTGAGACTGCCATAGTAGTCTTTCATAATTAAAAAATAAATTAAAAATTGGTTAAATCATTCATGAATTTCGCAAAGTCCTCAGATATCCCCATAGAGACCATGAAATTATGTAAAGTTTTTGAGGTTTACACACCCAGTTTATTAATCATATGACAAATTTATGACAATCATTTACTAACCAAACAAGAAGCATGGCAGCCGAGCATGACAGCAACCTGATGTGTTCCAGCACTGAAAATATTCTGATGATGTCAAATTAATACATTTGGTGGTGGATTTACTGTCAGTAATGGGTAGTGGGTGAATCTGCCAGTCTTATTCATATCAAATTTCACAATAACAACAGTCGTAAAAAGAACATGTTACAAAACCACTTCAACTTCATGGCTGGAATCTGCCTTATGCTTGTAACGCACTGGCAACTAATGTCAGTAATGACGAATTACTTTACAATATGTCGCGTAATATGTTTACAGTGAAACTGAAAGCCATAAATGGCTGTTTAAAATTTGCTTTTCGGTCGAAATTCTACCATTTGCTTTTCCATCGATTTTTCTCAAATTTAATGAGCAACGCCTGTCTCCAGTCTAGAAAGCCAAAGGTCACAGTCGATCTGAATCATTGCAAACAGAGATCTGTATCTTCATACCCTTCATGTTCTTCGCCTCCTCGATCTTGGAACTGCGGCTGTGAGTCGTCAGAATCATCCACCTCAATAAAAACTGGAGTAGAATGTGAAGTATCTTCATATCCATCTTCTGCATCATCATCAAATTTCATAAACTCATATCTCATCGCTTGCGACACATTTTCTTCCGTTGTCCCGTTCGACGAATTTTCCCCGACCTCAGCCATAGTCGGCAAATGACCTTGACCTTATTATAACTGGTGGATCTAAGAGAAGGGGAGAAGAAAAAACATATTAAGATAAAATTTGTAATCATTTAAGCCGTTTTTACATATTTTAAAGTTTTTTATTTTGCATATAATTCTGTTATTACCTCGATACACAAGTTTTACGTGTGAAAATTCCTAGTTTTGGGACAGCCGAGATTACTCGTGAACTCTCGATATCTTCCTCTTTCCCCGTGGATCCAAGATGGTGGGTCTCAAAATAAATTTACCTAGGATAACAAATCCGCTTTCATCTTAATAAAGAAACTGATTTCGGGCAATTTTATGAAACAAATGAAATGGTGTAATAAGTTTCATTACTTTGCTTTTCCAAATAAATAAGGACCTGGTAGTTTTCAGGTGTAATACAGGTGTTAAAAGAAGTCTCAGGCAATGCATGTAGAACATGTTTTTTGGTTAACGAGTACCTGTATTTGCGTGAATACTCTGAAAAGACAAAAACTGCCACTATTAAAGTGCAGAGAGATTATAACACTTCATATTCACCTTGAAGGCATCAGAGACATTCGCAAATTACCATTATGTGCTTGGATTATAATATAGGATACGTATCGTGTATTCTTTTTTTTTTTAAATATTAGGTGCGAGGTCCAAGGAAGCACTTGAAGCGCCTTCATGCACCCAAACACTGGATGCTGGACAAACTGGGGGGCACATTTGTAAGTAGCTTTTGGTAGTTAAACAGTTAAATCCTACACATTTCATAAGAGTAAAACATGATGTTGAAAGTGCAATTTAAAAGTTGGTGCTGTGATCACCATGGGTACTGTTACTTTATATAATTATGAATCATGTGATGTGAATATGGAGAATAGCAGTTCCACTCAAGACTGGCATCCCAAATCATTGTGAAGCATTCTGATAAGCTTGAAAAATGGTCTTGTGTGTCTAAAAGATGTCATGTCTAAGTGAGCATGTCAAGTTAGAATACAAGTTGGTAAAGGTGCAAATTACAAAGACTATAGGTAGAACCAGCAGCAATGTTGTATGTGCTTATATTGATAATGTTGTTGTTATTACCTAGGCCCCCAGACCCAGCACTGGTCCACACAAGATGCGTGAATGTCTGCCTTTAATGATATTTTTGAGGAACAGACTAAAGTACGCTCTCACGTATGATGAATGCAAAAGAATTGTGGCTCAGAGGCTCATTAAAGTGGATGGCAAGGTCCGGACAGATTTCCTGTATCCCGCTGGGTTCATGGGTAGGTATTCTGTACCTGACCAGGTTCTTGGGAAGGTATTCTGTACTTAACTGGGTTTATGGGTAAGTGTACTGTACTATGGGTTAGTGGGTGGGTATTCTGTACTTTACACGAGTTCATGGGAAGGTGCATTACTAGGTTCACTGGTAGGTATTCTGTAGTATGTATATAATTTTGGATGCTCCTACAATTGAATTTTTCAGTACAATTTTATGTAAAACTTGTGGCTTGTATCGAAGTCAGGGTAGCAATGTTTTCTTTGGCTATCCTGGTCAAAAACAAAGCCAAAATCAAACCAGTTCTTTATGGTCGCTGGAAGGTTGACACATACCTTACTGGCATAACCCACAGACCTGACATCCCTTTCAGCAAGAAAGTGATGTTTTAATATAAAGAAGGCTATGATATGGCAGTCAGATTGCATTTTATCATTCTAGATGTAATCACAATTGAGAAGACAGGAGAACATTTCCGTCTGATTTATGATGTCAAGGGACGTTTCTGTGTCCACAGGATTAGTGCAGAAGAATCCAAGGTAAGCAGGACACTGCCCCCACAGTTCAAAGTTTGCTTTTAAATAAACTTGCCCACCACTGCATATGCTGTGTTTGAACTGGATGTGAAACAACTGTCAAGATAGAAAGCCATTTGTACCAGGACATCAGATTACTAGGAAGTACAACATGCTTGTGGACAGTTTTATTTCATGAGAGGAATCCCATGTCAGAAAAATTATGTGTGGTAAAGTCAAAGAGAAAATCCATAAGAGCACTTATATGCAAAAGGCAACCCCCAAAAACTTCATTAAACAAGTGTCTGTAGTTGCCAGAGTGTAGGAGTAACCTGTTCTAGTGGATGTTAGCTAGTCATCAGTGACCAGTGGTGACGGTTCTGAGGCATTCCTGCTTCTACTGGTTCCAAGGGTTGTCTTTGAAGCACAATTTACATGTTAATTATATCATGCTTATATAGAGCAAGTTGTGTTTCAAGCAGGAAAAGTTGCCCCAAGCAGTGAGTGTCCTGTGCCTTGTAACTGAGTTAACCTCTACTTTCAGTACAAGCCGTGTGCAGTAAAACAATGTCTTGTGAGGTGTAACTGAGTTAACCTCTAATTTCAGTACAAGCTGTGTAAAGTAAAACAATGTCTTGTGAGGTGTAACTGAGTTAACCTCTACTTTCAGTACAAGCCGTGTGCAGTAAAACAATGTCTTGTGAGGTGTAACTAGAGTTAACCTCTAATTTCAGTACAAGCTGTGTAAAGTAAAACAATGTCTTGTGTGGTGTAACTAGAGTTAACCTCTAATTTCAGTACAAGCCGTGTAAAGTAAAACAATGTCTTGTGTGGTGTAACTAGAGTTAACCTCTAATTTCAGTACAAGCTGTGTAAAGTAAAACAATGTCTTGTGTGGTGTAACTAGAGTTAACCTCTAATTTCAGTACAAGCTGTGTAAAGTAAAACAATGTCTTGTGTGGTGTAACTAGAGTTAACCTCTAATTTCAGTACAAGCTGTGTAAAGTAAAACACGTCAAGGTGGGACCCAAGGGTGTCCCCTTCATCGTCACCAATGATGGCCGCACCATCCGGTACCCGGACCCTCTGATCAAGGCCAACGACACCGTGCAGGTGGACATCGCCACAGGCAAAGTCAAGGACCTCATCAAGTTTGACTCTGGTAAACAAATGAACCCGTAGAATACCTCCAATACATGGATGGTATAAGTAAAGCATGTAGAGGTCCGTTAAAACTGTACATAGAAAATAAGAGTTTTTAGCTAATAAATATAATATATTGGAGTATATGTAAACTTCAAGTAAATGAAGTGACCCTGTTGGTGTTTTGTAAACGATTTGAGCTTGTAAGTTACATAAACATTGGAGAGAGAGAGATTTAAAGGCATTGTATAAAGTCCCCCGCGTTTTTCCAGGCAATGTATGCATGATCACTGGTGGCCATAACTTGGGCCGAGTGGGTATTGTGACCCACCGTGAGCGCCACCCAGGAGGTTTTGATATCGTCCACATCAAGGATGCCATGGGACATAGTTTCGCCACCAGGTAAGTGACCAGTGGTATTGTGTTAGGTGAGATTAACCACACTTTAGAAAGAGCTCAGGACGCCATTGTGGTAGGTGAGATTCGCAACACTTGAGAATGGAGCTCAGCACATCATTGTGGTAGGAGAGACGATATTCTCACCCGCAAAGCTATAAACAAATTGGTTGAGGCAAATTTTTTATTTCATCGAGACGGACATCCTGTTGTTTAATTCTTAGGTTTTTGTAAGAAAGACGATGTCACTTCGTGAAGCACGTTCTTTTGTTTTAGCATCCAAACAAAGATTACTGTTCTGCGTTCACCTAACGCGTACCTTGCTTTCTCCTCAGGTTGAACTACGTTTTCGTGATCGGCAAGGGCAGCAAGCCGTGGGTGTCTCTGCCTAAAGGCAAGGGTGTGAAGCTGAGCATTGCTGAAGAGAGAGACCGCAGAATTGCCAAGGGAGGCCAATGAATGGAGGAGAGAATTGAAACTGTCAGGAATAATAGAACACCATATAAGACGAATGAATATGGAGACTGTTTATAGACTGATAAATGTAAACTACGAAATAAACAAACTTTGAAGAGAATGTAGTTTTGTCTGGGTATTGATATTTAAAACACAAGATAGTTTGTTAACAAAACAGTTGTATTTACAGAAGGCTACGTTGGCGCCGTATCATAGGGTTTTTGGGAGAGACGGAGACCGTTTATGGGTATGAAAGAGACGTCATGTATTCAACCTGTACACCGACTTGATTCCACATGTTGATATTGATGTGGATCTCTGAAAACTGTTCCCCCAAAATTTACCTCGGGCAAGTCGTTTTAACACGATAGTTTATTTTGTTGCCCCTTCGGCATTACTGATGAAGTGCTCCAACAATTCCCTTTAAGGTTAATTCGTACTGTTTGAATGAAGTAGCTGCATTGCTTCGGGGGAGCAGGATGGAGGGCGCGTGTAAAAAGTGGGATTAAGTGTGGGAACGAGTCGGGATATTGTGAGGCGTCTTCGGGCATAAAGCCCCCCCTTCCCATCGATTTCCGATGATGCTTCTTGTCTTGTTCGGCTAAAGCAATTGTATCGGTAAATATACCGACCCGTTGCCCTTTTTTAAATTCAAATATGCAGTCCTAACTCAACCCCTGTCGCTGATCAAGAGTGGAAAAAGGCTATATGTTCAAAACGCGTAGAAGTACTTCTAAAACCAAGGGGTAGATGTGGGGTAAACTCCCAACCTGGAATAACGTTGAGTAAATTGATAGTTCTTACGTTTTGGTAAACCTTACGTTGTACACTTAATCAGAGCATTCGTAAGCTGGGCACCTGTGCTAATAAGGGCACATTTGGGACGAAGAAACGCAAGATGTGCAATTACCCCGTGCACACATTTTATGTGTACCTTGTGTAAAAAAATTAAAATGCTAGTATTCTACTTGATGTACCTCCTTGTTGGGAATTTAACACCCTTGAATATCGCCCCTGATTAAGAAACCCAACGAAAAAGGACAAAGTATGTTTTGTTTCACAAACGTGTGAGCGCCTGGTTTTTCCCATCAAAGGTATTGGGCCGGATATCACTGAAGTAAAGTTGTATTATTGTCATAAAATTTTCTGTTAAATAGCGGTACCCGTAACGGCGGCAGTGCTGCTAGTAAAATTTCGCTTTTATAGATTTGTTTATGGTTTAGCCGTAAGCAAGGTTTGTTGGTATACAATCATTGCTGGATTGTGATCAATCTGTAACATATATATTTTCCCTGCACAGTCCATTCCCGTCATCATATTATAGGAAGCCACTGTCGTTGTTAAACACTTTCGTCCGTACGACACACACCTGGCTAGCGACAATGGCGGCCATGGTACAGATAGCGGTGTTAGTTGTATGTGCTTCTTTGGTTCGTGGAAATACAGAAAAGTCGAGTGCCATTATAAAGGATACTGAAAAATTATTGTCTTTAGTAAAGAGAGAATCGCCAGCGTTCTTCGAAGATAAACAGAAATTATCAAAGCGTTCTACAGGTGATGGTAAAGTGGCGATCAAGAAGCGGGAGGTGCCCAGAAGTTACGGCAGCCAATCACACGGTCGCCATGGTTCCCAGTCCGGGGGATATGGAGGCCGTAACCAAGGCTACGGAGCGGACTCTTATGGCTATGATTCCTATGGTCACGACTCGTACGGTAAACGTAGGCACGGAAACAGCGGTGGCTATGGCGGTGGGTATGGGCACGGCGATAGTTACGGTGGTCGTCATGACGACGGCTACAGTAGTGGTCATAATGATGGATATGGCAGAGGACATAGCAACAGCTACGGCGGTGGTCATAACGATGGCTACGGTAGAGAACACAGTGACGGCTACGGTGGTGGTCATAGCAACAGTTACGGCGACACTCACAGCGACGGCTATGGAGGGGGGCATAGTGACGGCTACGGTGGTGGTCATAACGACGGTTACGGAGGCGATCATGGTGATGGCTACGGCGGTAGCCATGACAACGACTACGGCGGTGGTCATAACGACGGCTACGGAGGGGGTCATGGCGGTGGCTACGACGGTGGCCATGACGATGGTTACGGCGGTGGCCATGGTGGTGGCTATGGCGGTGGCTATGACGACGGCTACGGAGGCGGTCATGGTGGTGGCTACGGCGGTGGCCATGACGACGGCTACGGCGGTGGCCATGGCGACGGCTACGGAGGCGGTCATGGCGGTGGCTACGGCGGCGGTCATGGTGGTGGCTACGGCGGCGGTCATGGAAGCGATCATGGGAATGGATACGGCAGCCAACGTGGCGGTTACAAACAGATGCTCACATTAAAACAACTGCTCTTTATCAAAGCACCAAAGTTTGCTTCTTTTTTACTCAAAGCAGCAGCACAAGATAACGAAATCTCCGAGGTGTTAAACAAGAAAAATGGTAAGCACACAGTTCGGCAAAGTACAGTAAGTGGCAACTCCATCGCTGAGGCTATAGTAAGTGGTAATTAACGCACCGAGGAGGTAGAAGTAGGGCCCAAGGGCTGACCCATTACCTTCATAATTTAGGGCACTCAGCACTGGTTTCAGTCGCGGCCCTGGTAGATATTAACTACGTTGTCAAGAGTTCCATATGATATTTAATAACTTATATATATTTTTTAAGATCAACAGGTCCATATTATATATATTTCAGGGCCCTATACAGTGTTTGCGTCTACTGATTACGCTGTTGCCAAACTGAACGTGTCCCTCAGGGAGGATCTACCTGTATATATAATAATATATAATATAATAATATATATTTCAGGGCCCTATACAGTGTTTGCGTCTACTGATTACGCTGTTGCCAAACTGAACGTGTCCCTCAGGGAGGATCTACCTGTATATATAATAATATATAATATAATAATATATATTTCAGGACCCTATACGGTGTTTGCTCCTACTGATTACGCTGTTGCCAAACTGAACGTGTCACTCAGGGAAGATCTCAAAATGTTGGATGACAACATGTCGCTGACGGATGCCACCATTGAGATCCTAAAGTTTCACATCATCAGCGGATCCGTCTTCAGCAAAGAATTCAAAAATGATGCAACCTTCATCTCACTGAATGGAACCAAAGTCAGAGTGAACTTTTATCAGTATGTAAGTAGTGCTTATACGTCTATATGTGGCATGATTTGTTGAAACGCACGAACATTGTTTTCAAGCTCTTCACGTGCCGGTATCACCTGCATGAACTATTTCTGCCAAACCATTTGAAGTTTTAGTACGGTACCTCACTTTTCGCCTCTGAATTAAAGTGATCATAATTTTGGAGTACTTGGATTCAAATATTCAACAAATATGTGTGAGAGATACCACGTTGTCTTAGATTCACTTACATATCCTATTAGGACAGGGACTTAAACGAACGCTGATTGTTTTAAGCGTAGTCTAATTATATTTCCCCATTTTATCTTTATAAAGATTGGTTGGTAGTCTGTGTCCCATTTTTTTCGCTCTCCGGACAGACTACCTTAAATCACTACCTCTGTTTTGAGATAGTTTGGTACTAGAAAATCTTAATATACTGTCTTGAGAGAGGTTGTTACACATAATCTTAATACAATGTCTTAAGAGAGGTTGTTACGACATCTTAAAGCAATAATAACTCTTCCTTTGAGATTCAAAAATCCGCATGAAATACATTGTAAACAACGCATGGAAATATATTATATTGTATTTTACCACTAAAACGGCCGTTATTGTAGGAAAACTAAAATCTGTGCTTGTCAATAGGGCTTTCGATCCCTTTTTTCCGGTCGACAAGTGCATTCGTTGCTAATGACGTAATGGTGTCACGCGGATTCTCGCGTTCATTCGAGACCAATATAACATGGCGGGAAACCCTCAGACGTAAGTTGGGAGTTTTTGTACAGTGCGTCGGATAACGAAAAGCCCAGAATGGCACACATTGTGGATGTAAATGCATTTTTAACAAAAAGACGAATATATCTCATGAATCTTATATAGTGTTGTTGTTGTCTGCTTTTCCCGCGGTTTTAAGTAGGTCACCAGTGACTTTGCAATGTCAGAGAGAGCTCCGTCAGTTAAAATCTCTTAAGAGATTTTAACAAAAAACGGTACGTTTAGGAAAAAAACCCTGGATTAACTTTGAATGCAGGAATGGGGTCGTTGGCCATTGGTAAGTACGGGAAAATTGCCGTTTTTTCCAGGAAAATCCAATTTTTGGCCAAAACGAAGAGTTATTATGACTTTAATATACTATCTAACATTGGTTGTCATGTGATATATCAATTTCCCCTTTTGAGATAGGTTTTACCTTAAATTTTAACATACTCTCCCAGACAAAACCTGCATAGATACAGGTTTAACGGGAAATTTATCCTTATCTCTAAGGATTGGCTGTTACGATAAATGTGTTTTCCATAAGGGTACATGTTTTTTATGTAGAATGGTGCATTTTTGTTATTACAGGATGTGACTGCGTCTGGCTCACGTATTGTGAAAAAGGACATCAAAGCCAAAAACGGCATCATACATTTGGTGGATTGTTTCCTGTGTGATGGTAACGTGCCCATAGACCTGAACTCAGCGGACGTGCTGACCACTTCTCTGGTCATGGACGTATTCAATATGGCTCTAGAGTTATTCCAAAACACCACTTTGTTCAACCCAAATGGTAGGTATCTAAATATATAATTAATTTGGTTAATTTTATCTATTTATGGTACTCGATATTTGTAGATTTGCTGCTTATTGTGTAATTTGAAAACAAAAAGGAACCATAATGGTCAAATGAGTATACCTTAAAATTGACAACTCCGTCTGTTTGAACATGATATTAAATAGATAACAACGCTTCGAAAGAGATCCATATTTCACAATAAGTGCAATGTAAACAACTCACAGAAATGTGATAAAGTCTATTACCTCTGTAGAGATTTTTTACAAAGATTATTACAAAAAAAACTTTTTAGAAAAAACAGGGATTAATTCTGAATATAGGAATAGATTAATTAACCATTGTTAGATATGGGAAAATTGTCGTCTACCCCAGGAAAACCCTTTTATTTTTATTTTATTTATTTATTTATTTATTTATTTATTTATTTATTTATTTATTTTATTTATTATTTATTTGCCAAAATCAACAGTTGTTTTCCCTTAAAAACTAAAGCAACAATGGTTAGGTATTCAATTGATACGCATCAAATAGCCTTAATAAGATGTGTTATAACATTAAGCAAGGAAAAAGCTTCTGAAACACCATAAATTGGTTAAATTATGAATGTCTGCCGTAAGTCTATCTTCAAAATTGTAGGTCATTTTTCTGTTTTGTCTTTTTGGTCGTACTAGGATGTTGGAAGCGCTTGTCTTTGCACTGCGGCATTATGTCGTTATAACAAGCTTCAAATGCAGTAAATAATAAAATATAAAAATAGTTATGAATATTCAAAAAGTAAGGGAAGATACTCAAAATCAACTTCATTATCAATTATGAAAATGTGAACACAGTAAGTGCGTATGCCTGCTTGGGAATCAAATTTCTAGCCAACGGCTTATTCAAGCTAGACGACATTGCTGGGAAATATACAGATACCAGACAATTAAAATATAAATAATAAATAAAAACAAAAACAAACATGTCCACAATATTTAGCCGTATAAAAAAAGGAAGAGAAAAGAAAAATGCTTTATTTTTTAATCGTGCCGACTTTTCGAAAGGAATCTGCATTTTTTTTTTCTTAATAACGCTTAGTCAGCGAACGGCGTGAAAAAAAAAACAGAAGAAAATCATAAATTTCGTTTATTGTTCGATCATGCTGATTTTCAAAGGAATCTGCTTTATTAGCATACCAAGTCACTCTACAAATACGAAGTATACGTCGCCAAACGAGATACAAAGAAATCATTATTTTGGTAAAAAAAAATCTGATCAAACTGATTTTTTAACCAAACTGTGCTCATCAGTATATTAAATGTAAAACGAAAATATGGTTTGACTGTCATAGGATGTTCCGGACGTCAACAAAAACAGAGAACACGGGGACAGACACAATGATCAGAATATATACAGATACATACATCCCTGTAGAGCGTCTTTATATATAAAGCACTGTTAAATTTACAAGATACATATTATTATTATTATAACCTGTCTGCACTATTTCCAGCACATGATCATGAACACAAGAACCACGAAGACGGCTACCCGTCCAGTCACAGTTATGGCTATGGCTCCCACTTCAAGGGTTGTACCTACTTCATCCCCAGTAACGACGCCTTCACAGAGGTAATGGACGAGTTAACCGCTCTAACTGAGGCCGAGTTACTGGGTGAGTTGTCACTGAAAATTTCATCATGGAGGGGTCAGGTGTTGTTTATTTTAGAAAACGATATCAATTTGCTCACACGGTGACCAGCAAAATAGGATTTTTTTCGACTGAGAAATATGAACTAATTCAAACTAGAATGTCCGTAGTCGTAATGTTAACATTGTCCCCTACATGATTTTACTTTTTTCTTTCTTATTCCTTGCGAAACATCCTTCTCACCTTGGAATTCAATACTCTCTTTGTTTATTGCATTGGCAAGAAAACAGAAGATCGTTTTATCAATGTAATGAAATTTAACTACTGGTAGCATCATCATCATCATCCCAACCGTCATCATCTATCATTACCAAGACATTGTTGTGATTGTGCAAATGAATTCAGCAGATTCACAATAGTATTGACAGTTTATGAATAAAACCCTTCTCGTCTCTTGAGCCGGGGGGGGGGGGGGGTCCAAATTAGTATGAACATTTAGACCATACTTTAGTCTACCTCAACAACAGTTTAATCATTAGTAGTCCTATCAGATGAACGATTTAGTCCTTTAATATAACGAGAAAGACATGCCCAATGTATCAGTCTGAACTGTACGCCATTAAGTTGACTGTTATGGATTTATCTATAACGGACGATGGCCAAATTTTCGGTTTTAATGTTCAGACCAACTTTCGGCCGGAAGTTTATTTGTGGAACGGTCCTCTAGAAAACAGAATAGTAACCTCTGTGTTAGTCAAATTGCGTTTTGGGGCGCACGACAAAAATATTTATCAGCGGTATCTGTTGATATACAGCAACAAGCCACGCAATTCTGTTGTTTAAATGACATAATATTCACACGTTCTCTTTTTTGTTTCTCTTAGCTCTGGCAAAGTGTCACAAGGTAGATGGCACTTACTTCAGTGAAGGTCTGTACAAACAGCAGGTGTTGAAAACCAAATGTGGTCACACACTGTGGGTTGGAAAGACATGTAAGTCCTGGTAAAATATCTGGAAGGTGAGAGGGGTGTGGGCAACTTACAGGTGATGTACCACCAGCCANAAAACTTTTTAGAAAAAACAGGGATTAATTCTGAATATAGGAATAGATTAATTAACCATTGTTAGATATGGGAAAATTGTCGTCTACCCCAGGAAAACCCTTTTATTTTTATTTTATTTATTTATTTATTTATTTATTTATTTATTTATTTATCTATTTATTATTTATTTGCCAAAATCAACAGTTGTTTTCCCTTAAAAACTAAAGCAACAATGGTTAGGTATTCAATTGATACGCATCAAATAGCCTTAATAAGATGTGTTATAACATTAAGCAAGGAAAAAGCTTCTGAAACACCATAAATTGGTTAAATAATGAATGTCTGCCGTAAGTCTATTTTCAAAATTGTAGGTCATTTTTCTGTTTTGTCTTTTTGGTCGTACTAGGATGTTGGAAGCGCTTGTCTTTGCACTGCGGCATTATGTCGTTATAACAAGCTTCAAATGCAGTAAATAATAAAATATAAAAATAGTTATGAATATTCAAAAAGTAAGGGAAGATACTCAAAATCAACTTCATTATCAATTATGAAAATGTGAACACAGTAAGTGCGTATGCCTGCTTGGGAATCAAATTTCTAGCCAACGGCTTATTCAAGCTAGACGACATTGCTGGGAAATATACAGATACCAGACAATTAAAATATAAATAATAAATAAAAACAAAAACAAACATGTCCACAATATTTAGCCGTATAAAAAAAGGAAGAGAAAAGAAAAATGCTTTATTTTTTAATCGTGCCGACTTTTCGAAAGGAATCTGCATTTTTTTTTTCTTAATAACACTTAGTCAGCGAACGGCGTGAAAAAAAAACAGAAGAAAATCATAAATTTCGTTTATTGTTCGATCATGCTGATTTTCAAAGGAATCTGCTTTATTAGCATACCAAGTCACTCTACAAATACGAAGTATACGTCGCCAAACGAGATACAAAGAAATCATTATTTTGGTAAAAAAAATCTGATCAAACTGATTTTTTTAACCAATCTGTGCTCATCAGTATATTAAATGTAAAACGAAAATATGGTTTGACTGTCATAGGGAGTGATGTTCCGGACGTCAACAAGAACAGTGAACACGGGGACAGACACAATGATCAGAATATATACAGATACACACAACCCTGTAGAGCGTCTTTATATATAAAGCACTGTTAAATTTACAAGATACATATTATTATTATTATAACCTGTCTGCACTATTTCCAGCACATGATCATGAACACAAGAACCACGAAGACGGCTACCCGTCCAGTCACAGTTATGGCTATGGCTCCCACTTCAAGGGTTGTACCTACTTCATCCCCAGTAACGACGCCTTCACAGAGGTAATGGACGAGTTAACCGCTCTAACTGAGGCCGAGTTACTGGGTGAGTTGTCACTGAAAATTTCATCATGGAGGGGTCAGGTGTTGTTTATTTTAGAAAACGATATCAATTTGCTCACACGGTGACCAGCAAAGTAGGATTTTTTTCGACTGAGAAATATGAACTAATTCAAACTAGAATGTCAGTAGTCGTAATGTTAACATCATCCCCTACATTATTTTACTTTTTTCTTTCTTATTCCTTGCGAAACATCCTTCTCACCTTGAAATTCAATACTCTCTTTGTTTATTGCATTGGCAAGAAAACAGAAGATCGTTTTATCAATGTAATGAAATTTAACTACTGGTATTATCATCATCACCCAACTGTCATCATCTATCATTACCAAGACATTGTTGTAATTGTGAAAATGAATTCAGCAGATTCACAACAGTATCGACAGTTTATGAATAAAACCCTTCTTATCTCCTGGACTGGGGGGGGTGTCCGAAATTAGTATAAACATTTAGACCATACTTTTGTCTACCTTGACAACAGTTTAATCATTAATAGTCCTATCAGATGAAAGATTTAGTCCTTTTTATAACGAGAAAGACATGCCCAATGTATCAGTCTGAACTGTACGTCATTAAATTGACTGTTATGGATTTTTCTTTAACAGAAGATGGCCAAATTTTCGGTTTTAATGTTCAGACCAACTTTCGGCCGGAAGTTTATATGTGGAACGGTCCTCTATAAAACAGAATAGTAGCCTCTGTGTTAGACAAATTGCGTTTTGGGGCGCACGACAAAAATATTAATCAGCGGTATCTGTTGTTATACAGCAACAAGCCACGCAATTCTGTTGTTTAAATGACATAATATTCACACGTTCTCTTTTTTGTTTCTCTTAGCTCTGGCAAAGTGTCACAAGGTAGATGGCACTTACTTCAGTGAAGGTCTGTACAAACAGCAGGTGTTGAAAACCAAATGTGGTCACACACTGTGGGTTGGAAAGACATGTAAGTCCTGGTAAAATATATGGAAGGTGAGAGGGGTGTGGGCAACTTACAGGTGATGTACCACCAGCCACATAATTGCTTCTTAGTAGATCATGAACGTAGGCCCTACATGGTTCTCTTTTGTCCTTACAATCACAAAATAAGGTTTTTGGTAAAATCTGCTGTCCAATGCAGATAGCAGTACGCCATTCAAAATATTTGGTCTATCATTATATACTTGGCTTGGTAAATTAGAAATGCAAAAGCTTCTTTTTCTTCAGTGCTAAGCTCTGTAAGATCTGTAAGATTGAAACTACTTTAGTTAAAGGGATAATAACTCTTCGTATGAGATCTATATTTCACAATAAAAACATTGTAAATAACTCATAGAAATATAATATATTCTGTTTTACCACAAAAACGGCAGTTATAGCTATTATTCTCATATCTGAGCTTGTCTTTAGACCACGTGACCTCCATGGATGACTTAACTCTGTTATAATCTCTTAAGAGATTTTGACAAAAAACCAAACTTTTTAGAAAAAAACCAGGGACTAACTTTGAATGTAAAAATGGATTCATTAACCATTGGTAAGTATGGGAAAATTGTTGTTTACTCCAGGAAAATTCATTTTTGGCCGAAACGAAGAGTTATTATCCCTTTAACAATTATCACTTTCATTCATGCACACACGAATAATTCGATGTGTATAAAACGGAGAGAGCGTGTTTGAGCGGGTTTAGTTTTTTGTTCCAGACAACTACACTCTACAAGTGAACAGTGCGCTGGTCACCAACAGCAGTAATATCTGTACCACTGATGGGGTTGTCCACGTCATTGACCGGTTTATTATTCCCCCCAACTTCTACGACGAATTCTTCGATCTCCCTGATGTGTACGGTAACCCCTGCGGTCATATCTGCAAAAAAGTCAACAGCACCAAGGTCCCCGAGAACGATGACGACACGGGTTGACGCATTTCTATGAGCACGGATGGACGGGAATATGTCGAGTTGTTGCAAGGGCTATTTTGTCAAATTTTTATAAGAGACATTGTCATGGGTTAGCATTGTATGGGCAAATTACAATATGAAGGGCGTTTGTTTTATCCAGAAGAGGTAACGTCCTCACACTTGGCTGCATGTTTAAGGGGTCACAACATATGTAGGCCTACCCCCCCCCCCCCCCCCCCAAAAAAAAAAAAAAGAAAAGAAAAAAAGAAAAGAAAAGAAAAAAAAAGAAGGTATCAGTCTACAGAGAACACACTTTTAATTGCTTGCGTCCAACATTCAAATCTGTCTCTCGAAGACTGCTGGGCGTCCTGTTCATCTATAATGAAAATAACCGCGTATTGATACTTCCATATTTTAAGAACTGAAGGTTATATATAGGCCTAATTGTTCAGATAGTTTTAAAATATTTCTGTTTATACCAGAGATCTATTTTATGCATGCGTTTGACAACCATGCTGTGTGAGTATGAAGATTAAAGGGTTTAATGGTACCAAATAAAATATTGACAGACTGGCAATGGTTTCTGTCCTGACAACAATTTATCGACTCCTTCACATGAACGTGGCTAGGATTATTCAACAAAGCTGTTCACACGTGGCCGATATTTTTTAGCTGATATCTCTAAGTCATTTCTAAAGTTTGTCGATACAAGTAAATCCTTACCCATAGGCTATGATATCAACATAATACGTAATGGGTAAAGTTAAAGCACAAGGTACTTCTAATAATTTAACTTTCATGAGAATGAAGTTTGAATCCCATATATCAAATTTTGCATAAATCTTAACCTCCAATCTATTTTTATACTTATTAATGATTGGTCAGATAGCAGTGATCACTTGTCTATTTGTCTTCACCTGATCTATTACAAATTCCCCGCTATGCTTAGCTCCTATAACTAGAACCACGATAGAAATAAAAAGGGCCAGATCAGTCAAACATTGCTACCTCTCATATAGCACGTATACCGCCTGGGAATTGAGAATTCACACAAACCTAGTGTTAATTATATTTCGCAACGACAGTCACTAATGGCTTTGTCTCGCAAACGGAATTCAATATGCATTTGATTTATTAGGCCAGATTTCCAACACAAAACAATTATGTAAATGCAATCTTCTCTGTTGCCTTCACATCGGTAACTTTAAACTGACGACCGTTTTCAACACTCGGAAAACAGTAGGCCTACGGTTTTAATGTGCCTGAGCTTTAACAAAACATTCCGTAGTTGTGCTTGATTCCATTTCGAAATAGTTCTAGTGTTGATATGGCTGAAATGAACAAATATTAAATAGGTGACTTATTTTCCACGTTACATCTTTGCACATCTATGCACGTATAATGCCTGCATGTGGTGTATTGGTTGTAAAAAACCAAAATAATAAAAGACTCCCCGACATCAAGTAGCACAGTCGTCTCGTGTTGAAGCGTGTCTGAAAGGTGCCACTTGAATAGTGCGAACACTGCGCTGATCCGCCAGAACCAAAGTCCAGCAGGCCCTGCGTACTTTCCGCCTCAGGAAGGCATACAATATAGGGTGCAATATGGTGGTCATGTAGGCCAGGCATAGGAGGCCGACATTGATCGTCTCTTGTGTCATCTGTGGCTTAACCATGACGGCCAGGCTGTATGTAGTATAGGGCCCCCAGCAGAGGACATAGGTGCTTACGATAGCCAGGGCGACTTTAGTGGCACGAGCACCTGTTGGTCGGACCTTTTTATCACAGAATCCAGAACCAGCGACCACAAGGGAAGCCTGGACCAGTGCCGCCTTGATACTTAGCCGGGTATGGGCGGCGTTCACTATCTTCCTGTAGGAGACGATCATCCACAGAGACGAGCTGACAAATAACACGACCCAATAGGTCTGGAAATAATGACGTGTTTGTGTGGTCAAGTACCAGGTGACACAAGACTTAACGTCTGTATACGTGACCAAGACAGGGTTTGCAGTGTGAATAAAAGCGGCACCAATTCCCAACAGAGCTCCGCACCACGGCACCAAAAGAACAAATCTAACGTTCTTCACAGAAAATGTCCTCTTTGTTGGCATGATAACGCTTTCATACCTGTCCACACTTATGACGAGCAAGTTGAGTGCGGTGGCAGAACAGGCAAACGACACGCCGGCCTCGTGACTGAGACACACGAGCACGTCAGTATCACGGTGACGTAACAACAGCGTGGTGAAGGTAAGCGGTGCACTCAGAACACATATCAAAATGTCGACAACGTTCAGGTTGGCCATGAGGATGTTACTGACTGATCTCAGTGTGTTCCAGTGCCGATAGTAAGCCCATAGTACCATGATATTGACTGTTACACCCAGGACAATCTCTACAGTTAAGATAAAACAAACAACCACTAAATATGCACTTGGTACTTCGCCCATGGAAGCCAAATTCAAGTCTGTGGAATTCAAAATCTCCCCCATCATTTCAAGTGGTAACGGTACTGGTGAGAGTTGCAAGTGGAAGAACAGAGCCAGCATTCGTTTTTTACGTTTCAAACCCGTGTTAATTTATATTATTCCAATGTATTCCATTTCCATCTGTTGCATTCTTGCACATCTTAATTCATAATGTAATTAATTGTCCCATCCAAATTGCGAAGAATCCAAACAATGCTTTCTAATAGTTTTTTCTAAAGATATATATCCATACGACCGCACACGCGTTTGTAAAACACTGCTATCTGCAGCGTCGACTTCAAATTAATTTTTTTTTACTTTCAAGTGATGATTTCGCGTTTAAGCCGATTTCGTAATCGCTCTGTTATGCTGTTTTTATACCTTTCCGTAGCTATCTGTATCGGCAGTTGTCAGTAGGGCCCTATATATCCAATCCGCGCTCACAGACGGCGTGACGCAAGAAGTGATTCAGAAAACCCACCGTGAACTTCTAATACATATTCCAACTGTTCTGCCGTGTATTTACAAGTAGTGTGCCAGTAGCCACATACTGTGATACCAGACTACTAAGAATCACGGGATTCAATCAATTCATTCAATTTCTTATGCAGCATTCATTAGTTGCCTTCGCGCGTCCATATTTATAGATACATGTAGTAGCAACTGTCCGCATAAGCGGTACGTCGTCTCATAGTGCAGAAATATCCATAGAATTAGCCATTGAAATATATGTGAATGTCATGTGAAAAATAGAGGGTAAAAACTGTCAAGGATGCGCCATGACATGGAGATAACCCGGAATATATACATGTACTGTAAAACACACCATTAGAACAAAAATCTCTGAGAGACAACCTTGAGCAGTATTTTATGCGACAGAAGAACGGGTATGCGGTCGTATTTCTATCAGATATTTCGTTTTTAGCAATATTATCTGATGATCATCATCATATACTGCCTTTCACTTATACTGTTTGAAAAAGTCGCATCCTATAGGGCCTATTAAACATAAAGAAGAGCATATAAATACTAGTATTGTACAATAAATGGTACTTTCTGTTTAGTTTTATTTGTCGTCAAACATAATTTGGTTGTTATTTCACGATTGTAAAATTATTTGCGATTATGTTGGCAATTCGTATATTTGAAGCACTAGATGAAATGAAAATATGTCACTCCCGCAAAATGTCAACCATATGCTGGGCCGTGCCACATGAAACGGCGGGTTTGCATCTTCCGCAACTTATAAAATTTTCAGAATTGTTTGATGTGGCACTGACTCGGGCTAAGAGCTGGGATGATTTTTTTCCTTCTAGACATTTAATTTTCGTGACAGCTAAGATCAGCTCAAGTAGAGCCAGATCTTTATTATCCCATCCTTGAAAACCTGGACCAGCAAATGTTTCTTGATTTCTTAATACATGAAAGGAAACGACACATAGTTCACAGTGCCAACATCGCCCACGTCTGACAGCAAATGCGAGATTATCTTGTCCTCTTTCCAAGCCACACCACTTCCCCAGTATTGTGAACAAGAGACGCGCCTTGCGTCAGTGTACACGGCGCAGTAAACAGGATGGTAGTTGATTCAATATGTGCTCCATTAGCAAATCTTTATGACGCACGCGGTCCTGCCTTGACACTTCCCAGGGAATCACTGCCCATTACTGTTACGTCAGGGACACCATCAAATTAAGTTAGGAGTCCGTATAAAGAGTTATTGTGTCAACGGCGGGACATTCCCTAACTCAAGTTTTATTTTAAATAAGTAACTACAGAAGCAAATATACCGACATGTCTCGCTCGTATATCAAAATCAGATAAAGTGGTTGTTTGGTTCGCCAGTGTCGAAAACGAAGCCAGACCAGTTTTTTAATAAAAGGTAGCAATCGTGCCGACATGATAGAAAATACCGTAATATTTTCACCCAATTTAATAGATTTAATTTTATAGACTCAATTTTATAGAGTCATAATTGAAGACACAAGAGAATGGCATATAAAATCACCACACGACTGTGCTAAAAAATCAATGGCATTAGTCGTAGAATTAGAATGCGTCTGTAAAGATGTCGCACGCTGCCCACACGAGCAATACCTACCCTCTAATATCAGGAGCCTCTAAAACAGTATATAATTTATGTAACAGACTACAAGTGAGACCTGTGGTCAGGGTGTAAGCAATACCCGCGGTTACTAAGTCCTTCCTATGTATACATTTGTATGTACCAGGTGAAATGTCCCTCTATTGCACTGGGCACCTGATGAATAATGGGTGTCTGCTCGTTGTTTTCAGGTTCTTCTAACATAATGTAAGTACAAACATTTGTCCCACTTTACACAAAGACAGAAATTACGTTTGAATAATTATTTGTCTCTTGTTCCAGTTCACTCCAATACTACTAGGAGGCTAGAATCGTGTTGCAGAGTTTCCGGCGTCGTTGCCTACACACACATCACTCGTCCTTATGACCTTTGAATACATGCATTAGCACGTACTTAACCTTTTGGTTCAAATGATCAAAGTCAGTAACAAGTCACTGCAAATAAGTCCAACTTCATTACAAAATACGCCTTCATGTCAGTCAATTATTTCATCTGCGTAAAGTTATGGAAAATACTCGCGAGATCTTGTGAATTGAAATAAATAATTTCACAGATCAACATTTCTCGAAACAAAGAACTTTAACTCCAGTAAATCTTTAAACATTTGATTTATATTCATCGAAAAAAATATATGCCTCCAGTATTTCCTCCTACATGTATACAAAGGCCATCCAGCGAAGATTACCTAAGACTGTTATTCCAAAAAGATACGGGTACCGTTTATAAAGTTACAGCGATTTAAGGCCCAATGAACGCCTATCATGTTTGGGTTTCTAACATTTCGCTTTTTAGAATAACATGTGCAATTATGAAGCAGACGTCAGTACATACAAGCTTACAGGACCAGATATGGAGGGGTCTTTTTGCCCCTATTCCCCCAAATCATGTATATCTCCCAGTGTGACGTGACAGTCTGGTTTCCGTTAATTTGCACCAGTAAGCCTCGCCCTAGATGTTGACCCACTCACGTCAGGCTAACCAGTAAGCCTCGCCCTAGATGTTGACCCACTCACGTCAGGCTAACCAGTAAGCCTCGCCCTAGATGTTGACCCACTCACGTCAGGCTAACCCTCTATTACAAGGACCTTCAGTTTCGTCACACTGGTACATTTAAATTATGTAAGGGGCATGACCGGACTACATCATTTTTCCCCTGAAATGCACTCTCCCGCTCCCCAATTCCCACAAGGGATTACTGTAGAAAATGGAGTATATTAAATACACTGCTCCCGGCAGAAGGGCACACTTAAGGCCACCAATTATCTGACAATACTAAACTCAGTACATGGAAGTGGTACATACTTTAATTTTGCCAATGTAGAATAAATTTAGGTTCCAGACTAGTCACCAAGGAAAAGAAGGCAGACTTTCTTGGTCATAAGTTTTATAAATACAGTAAAAGAAGCAAAAACATAATCAAAGAAGAAAACTTTATTAAGCAAAGCCGTAATAAAGTACAGACAACTGACATACACAAAACAGGCTAAATGTGTTCCTCAACATAATTCTTCCAAGTTCACTGGAATCATAACCAATGGTCAAATATTGCAACTGGCATTTGGCTTTGTTGACTAGTAAGTAGCACCATCTTCACTATGTCTTCAGAACTTTTGCTCTAGATTCAAAATTTTGTTTTACATTTCTGCAATAAGTTTACTATCTGTTTCACTTATAATTATTAATACTTAATTTCCTTGCTAATGTTCATGAAAGGCCTCTGATCTCTCACATCTTGACATGGTTCAATCTCCTGACAATAAATTCCTTAATGGCAGTATTTACATGCTGTTCAGTAATGTTATACTGGGAAGACAATCTTTTTGTAAAAGTGCTGCTGCAGCTACTGGAAAAGCCATGCCATATAAAAATATGCTATTTAAAAAAGAATTGAAGACATACCTATTCAGGAAATTTTTTGACTAATCAACTTTTAAATTGATTTTACAAATTTTATAGTAATTGCATTTTTGCACTGTAAGAAAAAAGGCTGTTCTACTTATAATTTTTTCTTTGTACAAATAAGGCTGTTTTTTTTACCTAAAATTGATTATTTTTTCTTAACGAACATACTTTAGTTATGTACTGTAAGTGCTTTTATGTGAGAATCCGTATGTTTTATCTAGAAAACTCTTAAATATTTTTTGTCGTTAAGCTCTGTAATTTTTTTATTTATCTATTCCTAATAATTGGTGTCTTAAGTAATTGTCTTATGCATATGTAAAGTCTTCTGAACATGTTATAATGGATTTTAGACTGAAAATAAATTTATTATTATTATTATTATTATTATTTTTATTATTATAAACAGCTCTAGGTAAATGCCTCTACATATCAAAGCGCTTCCATATAATGTTCTTGTTACTATATATAGTTTCCAACCACATAACCTGTGTGGCCAATGTTTTGGTGGCATTTCTAAATTTTCCAACCACATAACCTGTGTGGCCAATGTTTTGGTGGCATTTCTAAATTTTCCAACCACATATACTGTGTGGCCAATGTTTTGGTGGCATTTCTAAATTTTACAACCACATAACCCGTG